CCCTGGCAATCCTTGTTCCTCGGCGTCCAGGTGCTGGGGTGACGTGCCTTACTTGAAATTAAAGAGGCATAGTGGGGCGGTGGTGGTGCACACCTTTAATTCTAGCACTCAGAAAGTAGAGGCAGGCACATCTCTGAGTTTGAGGCTAGTGTGGTCTACAAAGTGAGTTCCAGGACAGCCAGGACTGTACACAGAAACCCTGTCTTGGAAAACAAACAAAACAAAACTAAAAGAGACCTCACCAGTAGATTGAGGGCCAAGGGGTTTGGGCTAAGGCCTCCACCGGGCCGTCCTTGGTAGGACACGGGTGTGTCAGAGCCTCTTATGCACGAGGTTCTGAAATGGGAGAGGAAGGCCTGTCAGCACAGCACTCAGCAGTCTACAACAGGAGGATTGTCAGTTGGAGGCCAGCCTGGGCTACATACTAAGACTCTGTTTCACACGGTTAGAAACTAAAACCAAGAAGGTCATGTGTGGAGTGAGCACCCACAGGGAGTCTGCTCACAGTCTCTGGCTGTACCAGATCCAGATCTCCCATTAGGACAGTGTGGGTGCTGGGCTCCTGCACCACCTGAGGTCAGCAGGAGCCTTTGTGGCCACAGGCTTTGGGGAGCTTTTTTTTTTTTGGTGGGTAGGGGGGTCAAGACAGGGTTTCTCTGTAGCTTTGGAGCCTGTCCTGGATCTCGCTCTGTAGACCAGGCTGGCCTTGAACTCACAGAGATCCGCCTGCCTCTGCCTCCCGAGTGCTGGGATTAAAGACATGTGCCACCATGCCCGGCTGGCTTTGGGGAGTTTTGGGCACAGGTACACTGTTGCAGAACTTGGCAGCTGGTTAGCTCCTGTCTGTATCCCCCTACCCCAGTCCCTCCCCTGAGCTGGCCTCCCATCCCTGTCCAGATGGAGAAGGCTGGTGATGTAACTGATGGGGGAGGGGGCATGACAATTAACCAGCAGCTTCCAAGTGAACTTGGTGCCCCCAAAGTTGGGAGAGTAGACTCGGGCTAGGCTGAGCAGGAGTGCATGGGGAAGGACTCTGGGACAGCTTGGCCCCACCCCATCTTCCCTGTAGTGGCTTTGGCTGACTGACTGCTTTCTGGCGCCAGACAGATGTTGGTCTGTGGATTCAGGGCCTGGGTTTGCTGACTGCCTGTCCCCCATCTGTTTACAGGACAGCGGCCACCCCGAGACCCTCATCAACCTCATTGTACTGTCACAGCACCTAGGCAAGCCCCCTGAGGTAGGCTGTAGCATGACAGGCCTCAGCCCCTTCAGGGTGGTGGTGGGGACAGCAGCAGGACAGGCAGAGACCAGGGAGGCACCGTCCAGCGTCCTTATCTGAGGGGAAAGAGGAAGTTGGGGCACTTTCTGCATAGAACCTGCTGAGCCCTGAGCCGTCTGCATCTATTTGCTGTCCCAGCTGCGGAGAGACAGCTGTCCTCAGGGCTGAGTGGAGCCATCGTGGCTCTATAGCCTAGAGTGTTGGTTCTCAGCCTATGGGTCGTGACCCCTTAGTGGCTAAACAACCCTTTCTTTTCTTTAAAAAAAGAAAAAAAATATTATTCATGTATGAGTGCTTTATCTGCATGTACAACTTTATGCCAGAAGAGTGCTGGGAATTGAACTCGGGACCTCTGGAAGAGCAGGCAGTGCTCTTAACCACCGAGCCATCTCTCCAGCCCCCCGAACAACCCTTTCACGGGTCACATAGCAGATATTTTCATTATGATTCATAACAGTAACAAAATTACAGTTATGAAGTAGCAATGGAATGGGGTCACCACAGCGTGAGGAACTGTATGGAAGGGTCGCAGCGTTAGGAGGGTTGAGAAGCACTGCTCTAGGATGTAGGACGTGTTAGCTCACAGTGCTTCTTGAGCCCGTCTCCTCAGTGTGACCCACCCCATCTTGGTCACTCCCTCCCTGGGGCCTCTGTTCCACACCTGAGGCTAGCCCAGCAGTGTGTCCGATGTGCTGCCTGGCTCTAGGTTGGGGGTGGTGGGGGTCAGAGTCCCTCCCTTGCCCCTACCCTGCTCTGCAGGGCAGAGTGGCTTTTGGATCTGTATATCTGGCTAACTCATCCCACTGCACACTGCTCAGGTGACAAACCGATACCTCTCGCAGCTGAAGGATGCGCATAGGACCCATCCCTTCATCAAGGAGTACCAGGCCAAGGTGAGCAGAGCAGGCACTCCTAGGGATGGGAACGTCCTGATGGGAGAAGGCTATGCTGTCTCATGCACGGCATCTCATCTCCCACTGCAGGAAAACGATTTCGATCGCCTTGCACGGCAGTATGCGCCCAGCGCCTGAGGTGGAGATGCCCCTTGTGACCCCAACTGTTCCGGATGTCATCCTCACTTCCTTGTCTGCCAATAAAGTCTGACCATCTTCTCTCTGCCTGATACCTACCTGGCACTCACTCCGGCCACTCTGATAGGAGTGTGGGACCAGGACTTCGGAGGAAGGAGTCCCAGGGTCCCACTTCACTCCAGGCTGCAGCTACCCCACCATGGTCCCTAGCCTTCCCCTGGCCCATCAGGCACCCATCATGACAGATGTTGAGGCTCAAACTGAGGATCTTAGGGCTTATCGGGGCTGCCACTGTGCACAGCATGATGGGCACAGGGTCACTGGTAGGGTTGTCGCCAAGATTGAGACCGACCATGCTGGGCCCTGCTTACCAGAGTCTTACCTATAGTGAGGAGCCCCTGGGCAGGTAGGATCCAGCTGGACAGGAAGGAGGAGGGCTAATTAGGGCTGTGGGTCAGGCAGGTCTCTGTTGGGCTGTGTGCCATCAGTCTAGACTCTAGAGGACACACATTCCAGTGGCAAAAAACAGACCCCTGAGCTGGTCCTGGGCTCCTTGTGACCTCAGCTCACCTGCTGGAGAGGAGGTAAGATACTTGGCTTTCAGTCTGGTGTCTCATCTGCCTTGGGGGTAGGTAGCCATCTGACACACCACCTCAGATGCCACTGAAAAGCATCCACAGATACCTGGCCCTGTGGCAGGAGGGGACCAGGCATCATTATCGACTCAGCATGGGCTCCATTAGGGGTCCAGCAGCCTTAGCACTGATCCTGGGCACACTTGTCTGTGCCCAGGAGCCCTGGTCCCAGGCCAGGAAGAAACTTAGTCTGAGCAGGCTTCTTCCCTTACAGATGGGCGCTGGGTTTGCCAGATGGCCCAGAGGTTGCCAGGAGGGACTGGGAAGGCCCAGCCCCTAGCCTGTCACCTGACAACTCGGTAACAAGTGAAGGAACCCCTGTTCCACATGGGTCTAGTCAGGAACAGAGTGGTGTGGCGCACCTGTCATCTGGGCACTCCTAGGGAGACGGGGGAGCAGGAGTTCAGGGCCAGCCTCAGCTATATCATGACAGTCTTTCTCAATGGGCTGTGGGATGGCTCAGTAAAGTGCCTTCCCCAAAAGCATGAGAGCCTGAGTTGGATCCCCAGCACCCTGTAGCCAATAGCAGAGGTTCTGTAATGGAAGACAAGGCTCCCTCCTTAGGGCTCATTGGCCACCTGGTCTAGCTAGATCAATGAGCCCTACATCAGTGAGAGACCCTGCCTCCAAAAACAGAGCAGGGCCTGGAAAGGTGGGTCAGTGGTTAAGAGCACTAGCTGCTCTTGCTGAGGGCCCAGGTTCAGTTCCCAACATGTTCCAGGGCATCTGATGCCCTCTTCTGGCCTCTGGGCACCAGGCAGGCAGAACACACAAAAGGACTAGATCTTGCTCTGTAAACCAGGCTGGCCTTGAACTCACAGAGATCTGCCTCCCAAGTGCTGGGATTAAAGGCGTGCACCACCACCACTGTCCAGCCCAAGGACTCAATCTTTTGAAACAAAATAATAGCAGGGGCTGGAGAGAGGGGTTGGTGGTTAAGAGCACACACTGCTCTTGCAAAAGACTGGAGTTCTGATCCCAGCAACTATGTCCATCCAGCCCACAACAGCCTGGAACTTCATCCCCCGGGTACTCCACACCTTCTAGAACCCGTGGGCACCTAGACACGTGACAGATGCGCTCACACACACACACACACACACACACACACACACACACACATCAAAGTTTTTAAGTAGAGGTGGAGGGAGATAGTGGACATCCATCTCTGGCCTCCATACTCATGCACTTGGCATGCGTGAGTGCACACACATGGTGTGCACATGTATGAGGCTGGGGTTCTGACTCCTTTGGTGGAGTGCTTACCTTGCATGCACAGAGCCTGAGCTCTATCACCACCAGTGGATGAACTATGCATGGTGGTGCATAACTGCCTTCCAGGCACTCAGAAGGCAGAAGCAGGAGTTCAAGACCATCACCAGCTACACAGTGAGACCCTGTCTCAAAAACCAAAAAGGGCCTGAGGCCGAGGCCAGGGGAAGATCAGTGCAGGAGGCCTTGTGGCTGGAGGAGTCAGCAGAGTAGAGGAAACCGACCAGGCTAGTCTTGGTGGCTTTCCCTCCGAAAGATGGAACCGCGGGAGGCTGGCCTTTGAACTGTCCCCAGCCCTCCTCCAGGTAGCTCCCTCCCTAACGGCTGCACCCTCCCAGTCTACCAGAGATCCTCTAAGCGGTACACACAGGCTCCAGAGCTGGCTGGAAACACAGAAACAGGCGCTGTGTATTTCCAGGAGCCCAGTGGACAGAGGGTGGGTCCAGACCCAAGCATGGGCAGAATTTCTTTTTTGGGCTCATTGCATTTATTTATTTGAATGGGGGCCTAGGTAGAGGTGAGAGGATAATTTCCTAGCGTCAGTCTGTCCTCACCTTCAGGACGTTAAATTGATGGCAAGGCCCCTCACACCTGCTGAGCCATCTTGACTGCAGAAGAGCCCCAGGGCAGTCGCAGACTGAGCAAAGGACCACCCAGAGCTCTGGGACCACTTAGTCTCACAGCAGCACCGGAGGAGGGCTGGAAGGGCGGAGCCCGGCATTCTGGGGGCGGGGCCTGGGCCGACCACGCCCCCGTTTTGCTCTGGCGGGGGCCTGCGCGCCCCCGGCCTGGCTGCAGCGCGTGACGCGGGGGCGCGCAGCGGCTCGGAAGCTTGCGGGCAGCAGCGGGACAGCGGGCGAGCGGGTGGCATGGCGGCTGCGGCGACGACCACTGAGCTCGAGGCGCCAGAGCCCATGCCGAGCTATGCGCAGATGTTGCAGCGAAGCTGGGCCTCGGCGCTGGCGGCGGCACGGGGCTGCGGGGACTGCGGCTGGGGATTGGCACGCCGCGGCCTGGCGGAGCACGCGCACCTGGCTGCGCCCGAGCTGCTGCTGGCCGCGCTGTGCGCTCTGGGCTGGACCGCGCTGCGCTCGGCGGCCACCGCGCGCCTCTTTCGGGTCAGTGCGACCTGGGGGCCCCTATGAACTGCATGCAGGAGAGTGAGTGGGGTCACTGCTCACGTATCCCTATGTCCGTGGTGGCCGCTGGAAAGGGGGGGGGGGGGGCTGGAGATGCCCAGGATGTTGGGACCTCAGAGACTATCCCGAGTTTTTGCAACAAGACCGGGTGGGTGCCGGGGTGTGGCTGACGGGGTGACGCTATGACGGATTGGGGGTCCCATGTGGCGTGGGGTGTTGTGGGTGCAAGAAAGCTAGATACACACCCTATCCTGGTGTGATCAATAGAATCTAGGGCGATCCGCTCGGTACGGCCTCTAGGCTGTTGCGGACCCGAGGGCCGACCTGGGCACCCTTCTGGGGACCGACTTGGGGACCAGGGAGCCCAGCTCCTGTGCCAGGAGGCCTCGAGGTGCACAGAGGTCATCTGCGCCCTGCGTCACCAGGAGCTGCTGTGTCTACACCAAGTCTGTGCAGTCGAGGTCCCACCCCTGACTGGGATCCCCACCAACCCTGAACCAGGGATGGCACAGACCTGCGTGTCAAGGGCCATACCGAGGGGCTCAACCTTGGGAATGACCCTATCTGTGTCTTCAGGGTTGGATTCTGCCGCCCCCATCGGGCGATGGTCAAAATGCTCTGTTTCTGGAGACTGAGGAGGCCACCGCCCAGGTCTGAAGAGTGACCCTGGTAGTGATGACATTGGCACCTGACCCTATTCTTCACCTCTCCTGGGGGGACGGGTCTAGTACGTACCATGGTGGATACTCCCTAGGGGACTAGCTAGGGACATCCCGCCCCCATCTGACTGGAAGTAGCAGAGGGTGTGGGGACAGAGAGCGTTGTGCCAACAAAGGGGCCTTTCTCTGCTGATGGGAAGAGGCTGCTCCTTGTTAGGTCAAGATAGGGTGTTGTCCAGCTCCAGAGCCCACCCAGTCTGTTGTCACCCACGGGAGGGAGCGACAGCCCCCAACTGCTGGAGAGAGGGGGAGGCAAGAGTGAGGAGGGCAGCCCTGGTCCCCATCTGCCTTGGCCAGCACGCCCTCCCGGTGCCCAGCTGGGATGCTGGAGGCCCTTGAGGCAGCCTGACGCCAGCCACCCCACTTCCACCCTTCCCCTCCCCTAGAAACAGGCAGAGGGGCTGCCCCATTCTCCAAGCTCAACTTGGCAGCAGCCTGGTTGCTAGGGGTTACGGGAGCTGGGCTCTGGCTGTCTCCATGACAACTGCTGGGTGCTCTGGGCTCCTCTGGCCCCCTCAGCCTTGGTAGGAAGGGGGCTGGGTTTGGCCCACAGCTCTGGAGCTCCGCCCCAGGGTGCTGGAGCCTTCCCGGACTCTAGTCTGCCCATTCCAACCCATTTTTTGTAATTTTTGAGATAGTGTCTCACTCTGAAGCCCAGGCTGGTCAAATTTGTGGCAATCCACCCACCTCAGCTTCCCAAGCGCTGGGATGATAGGCATACACCCCTGATCTTCTAACTCAGGGCACGCTATCCTGTGATGTCTCCATGGCACCAAAATCAGCTTGCCTCCACCATCACATGACTCTCTTTCACTTTTGGCCCCTTCTCTCAGTAGCCTCCAACACAACCACAGCCTTTGGTCCCCAGCTTTCCCTCCCAGGCACCCTCCTATCCTCAATCTCTCCTCTGCCTTCCTCCCAGTGTGGGGGAGTCACTGTGTTTTCAAGTTCCCTTCCCCCAAAGTGTTTTCCTTCAGTAGTCATTCCCCCTTTCTCCCTTCCTGAGACACCCTCATTTCCTGCTGGAACCTGAGCCACCACCCCCCCCACTTCCCTGGGCTCCGTTGCTTTAAAACCTACATGTGTCATGACACCCCCCCCCTCGGATTCCCTTCCCAGGCCACACAGGACAGCTGGGTGCTAAGTTTAGCCCTTCATGGCCGCACACATGGGCTCTGGTTACCCCAGATGATGTGAGGCTGAGCCTTCTCAATGCCACCCAGCCTGGCAAGTCCCTGGGTCTTGCTTTCCCCCCAGAGGAGCACTGAGCTCCCCAATGATAACCATTCCCCACCATATCCCCACAGCCCCTGGCCAAGCGGTGTCGTCTGCAGCCCAGAGATGCTGCCAGGTTACCTGAGAGCGCCTGGAAGCTTCTTTTCTACCTGGGCTGCTGGAGTTATTGTGCCTACCTGCTCCTGGGTTCCCGTTACCCTTTCTTCCATGACCCGCCCTCCGTCTTCTATGGTAGGAGTCCTGTGGGACCAGCATGAAGAGTTCTGCTAGAAATAATGGAAAGGGGGCTGGGAAGATGGCTCAGCGGGTAAAGGGGCTTGCAGCCAAGCCTGCCCACCTAAGTTCTATCCTTGGGGCCCACATGATGGAAAGCGAGAACTGACTCTTAAAAGTTGTCCTTTGGCCGGGCGGTGGTGGTGCGTGCTTTTAATCCCAGCACTTGGGAGGCAGAGCCAGGAGAATCTCTGTGAGTTCGAGGCCAGCCTGGTCTACAGAGGGAGATCCAGGACAGGCACCAAAACTACACAGAGAAACCCTGTCTCAAAAAACAAACAAACAAAAAAGTTGTCCTTCGACCTCCACATGTACACTGTGGCATGTACACTGTTGTACACACACACACACACACACACACACACACACACACACACACACACGAGTTCTGGAATGGGCCTAATGAGATGCTTCTATGAAAGTCTTGATATCAAGCCAGCCCCAACAAAGGATGGTCATGGAACCCTGGGAGTGGGGTGGTCAGAAGAGGGCTCCTACCAGAGGCGGTGCTGGAGAGACATGTGCAAAGGCCCTGGGGTATCACAAGATAGTGCCATGAAGACTCAACTCCTAGCTGGAGTTTGAGTTTCATAGGAGATGGACAGGATGGGGATTCATGGGTGCAGAAATGTGCAGAGTGGGGAGGCTCCTTGCTGGGACCATGATGTGGGAATCATCAGAGCCCTGGGGAGTGCAGAGATACATGCTTCCCTAGCAGGACAGGGAAAGGGCGAGAGGACTCTGACACAGCTAAGAGCTTTCTTTCCCCACATGGAAAGCACCACACATTTTTTTCCAATGTAGTCCAGAATGGCCTAAAATTGGGGATGCCACTGCTCAGCTTCCTGAGTGCTAGGACCCAGGAGTGTATATCACCACTCCCATGAGCCACACCGGTTTTGAATTTCAAAAGGAGTAATGTTAGCTGTCATTCATGTAGATAACTCAGTGGTTTCCTTTTGTTTATTTGTTTTTGTTTTGTTTTTTGAGACAAGATTTCTCTGTGTACCTCTGGCTGTCCTGGAACTCACTCTGTAGACCAGGCTGGCCTCGAACTCACAGAGGTCCTCCTGCCTTGGCCTCCCGAGTGCTGGGATCAAAGGTGTGCACTGCCATGCACAGCTGACAACCCAGCACTGAATTAGATTCATGTTTGGGCCAGAGCTCTGCACATCATTGAGCACCCACTGGGTTTTTGTGTTTTTTTCCCTGAAGATGGAAGCAAAGCAGTTCCTGCGTGTGGGACAGTGTGCAGCAGCTGAGCACACCCTCCCCTCACCAGGGGGCTCTAGGCTGGCACTATACTTTTTTGGGGGGGGCGGGGTTCGAGACAGGGTTTCTCTGTGTAGTTTTGGAGCCTCTCCTGGATCTCACTCTGTAGACCAGGCTGGCCTCGAACTCACAGAGATCCGCCTGGCTCTGCCTCCCGAGTGCTGGGATTAAAGGCGTGCTCCTCCACCGCCCCACTCTGGCACTATACTCTTTACTCCTGAGCCACGCCCACAGCCATTCATTGGGCAATTCTAGGCAGGGGCTCCACCCCTGAGCCACGCCCACAGCCATTCATTGGGCAATTCTAGGCAGGGGCTCCACCCCTGAGCCACGCCCACTGTCATTCATTGGGCAATTCTAGGCAGGGGCTCCACCCCTGAGCCACGCCCACTGTCGTTCATTGGGCAATTCTAGGCAGGGGCTCCTGCCTAGGACAAGGACCGTATTGGAGGTGACTGGCTGAAGTGTGCCCCAAGTGGGGCAGTGCAGATAGACACACTGTTAGGATTAGGAGCTTGCTAGAGGATGAGGAGAAATGTGTGTGTGTGGGGGGGTTCTTCTGTCTGTTTTCTGTCATTGTGGGAGGGGACACCCGTGTGCCACAGTTTGCGCATGTGTGGAGGTCAGAGAACAACTTCTGGGAGTCACTCCTCTCCTTCCCTCCCGTGGGGCCTGGGGATCAAACTCAGGTCACCAGGCTTGGTGGCAAGGCCCTTTACCCACCAAGCCTTCCTGCTGGGTCTTTTTGGGATTTTGTACAGGGTCTCAGGTAGCCTGGAGTGGTCTCAAACTAAGCATCCTCCTGCCTCAGCCTTCAGAATGCTGAGTGGAGGTCGGGGGACAACACTGGGGTTACTTCTGCCCACCTTTATGTGGGTTCTGGGGTGGAAATCGGGTGGCCAGGCATTCGTGGCCAGCATCTCTGCCAGGAGCCATCTCACCGGCCCCACAAGTTCCTCTATAGCTTTCCACTGAGTGGCTGCCTCTAAGCTGGGGCTGATGCAGCTGGGAAAACAGGGTCGCTGAGGCTTAGACAGAGTGGGAGAGAGAGCATCGAGGAGCCTTGAACTCAGCAAGAGAGTGTAAGAAGCACAAGTGGGGGCTGGAGAGATGGCTCAGGGGTTAAGAGCACCGACTGCTCTTCCAGAGGTCCCGAGTTCAATTCCCAGCAACCACATGTTGGCTCACAGCCATCTGTAATGAGATCTGGTGCCCTCTTCTGGCATGCAGGGATACATGCAGGCAGAACACTGTATATGTAATAAATAAATCTTAAAAAAAAAAAAAAAAAAAAAAAAGAAGCACAAGTGGGGGGCAGTGGGCAGTGGGGGCTCACCTGGGGGGACAGACAGCTGTCTGAGTGAGGACAGACATGCCTGGAGGCATGGGAAGGCTGAAGGGAGAACACAGGCGTCAGGTAGAGTCCTCCACAGGAGACCCACCCACCCGTGCAAAAGTCCTGGGCCAGGTATTGCAACAAGAACCATCTCTGTCTGGAGGGTGGGCCCAGGCATGATGGTACATACTTGTTATTTCAGCACTGAGGAGGTGAGGCAGGAGCATTGCTGTGAGTTCTCAGGCCAGCCTGGGTAACATAAGAAAGAGACTCTCAAAAACAAAACAAGCAAACAAAAACCAAGCAAGCAAAATGGGGCTGGGGAGTTGGTAGGGAGCTTGCCTAGAAGCAAGAAGCCCCCAGTTCCGTCCGTTTTAACCAGGCATGGCATCTCCATGCTGGGCATCCCAGCACTCGGGGAGTGGGATGGGGGCAGATGGTGAGTTCAAGGTCATCATTTGCTATAGAGATTTTGAGGTGAGCCTGGCCTACATGAGACCCTGATTCAATAAAGGTGCTTGCGGCCAAGCCTGGTGACCTGGGTTGATCCTTGGGACCCACAGAGTGGAAGGAGCAGACTGACTTCTAGAAATTATTCTCTGACCTCCACAGGGACCCGAGACAGGCAGGTGCCCACATACATTCACACAGTAAATAAATAATCTTAAAAAACAAGACAGACTTATGGTAACCCCACATTCAGAGGATACATGTTGTGAGGCTGTGTTGGGAGGTGTTGGGGGACAGGCCCTGAACATGACCGTGAACATGGTTCTTCCCAGACTGGAGGTCGGGCATGGCGGTGCCCTGGGACATAGCCACCGCCTACCTGCTGCAGGGCAGCTTCTACTGCCACTCCATCTATGCCACCGTGTACATGGACACCTGGCGCAAGGACTCTGTAGTCATGCTGGTACATCACGTGGTCACCCTGCTCCTCATCGCCTCTTCCTACGCCTTCCGGTGAGGTCCTCAGGAGAGTGGGCAGGCCATAAGTGCAAAGGCCTGGGCTGGGTGGGGCCAGAGCAAGGACGGGTCATGGAGCAGGGGTGTGTAAGGCCTGGAGAAAGACCCAGAGACCCTCCCCTCACCCACTGTCCCCTGCCCTGGGCCTATGGCTGCATGACACCCCCCCCCCTTTTTTTACCTTTATTGATTTCAAAGGCTGGGGTCAGAGGACAACCTTCAGGAGCTGGTTCTCCTCCTACCATGCAGGTTCTGGGAGTTGAACTCAGGTTGATGACAAGTGCCTCTATCCACTGAGCCATCTTGCTGACCCTGTTTGACCCCCTTGACCCAGACACGGCAAGAGATGTAGAAACAGAGATCTGGTGTTCGAAAGCCCACATGTGTTCCCACCTTCTCAGGGGGCTGAGACAGGAGGATCGTTTGAGTCAGAGTTCCAGGCTGGGCTACAGTAGGACCCTATCTCTAACAGAATAGAAACTAAGCTAGGCTCCAGAGGCTGAGACAGGAGGATTTCTGTGAGCTACAGGCCATCAAGAGCTCTAAGGATGAGATAAAGGGGAGCAGAGAAAGGGTGCACAGTGCCGGTGGAGGTCGGTGACTTGGCTGCCCCCCCCCAGGACACAAGTCTCCCTCAGGGCACCCAAGTCACCGACCTCCACTGGCACTGCCATGCGCACACCACATAGAGACACCGTAACCAGCAGCTGAAGCCACGGCTCAGGGTTAACAGCATGTGAACTGTTCTTGTTGGTTTTTGATGTTTTTATGTGTATGGGCATTTTGTCTGCACAGAATGGGATCCCCTGGAGCTGGAGTGACAGGTGGTTGTGAGCCACCATGTGGGTGATGTGGGTGCTGAGACCCGAACTCGAGTCTCCTGTAAGAGCAGCCAGTGCTCTTGACCTCGGGGCCGTCCTTCCAGCTCCAGCGAATGTGCTGCTCTCGAAGCCGACCCGGGTTCAGTTCCTGGCCCTGTGTCAGGTAGCTCATGCTTCCAGGGGCTCCGCAGGCTGCACACAGGCACACACTCACACACAGCTAACCAGTAATACAAACCACACCGTGTGGCTGGATGGCCTGGCTCCGCAGTCCCGGTGTGACTGTCCCTACCCCACAGGTACCACAATGTAGGCCTCCTCGTGTTCTTCCTGCATGATGTTAGCGACGTGCAGCTGGAGTTCACCAAGCTCAACATCTACTTCAAGGCCAGGGGCGGCGCCTACCACCGTTTGCACGGGCTGGTGGCCAACTTGGGGTGCCTCAGCTTCTGCTTCTGCTGGTGAGAGGGGTTGGGCAGCTGTGGTGGGTGGGCCCGGACAGAGGGGTGTGGCTCAGCGGGTGGGTGGGGCCCGGACAGAGGGGTGTGGCTCAGCGGGTGGGTGGGGCCCGGACAGAGGGGTGTGGCTCAGCGGGTGGGTGGGGCCAGGCAGGAGGGGCATGGCTTGTTGGGTTGTGGGCAGGGCCAGGAAAGGGGTGTGGCTTGCTGGGGTGGAGTCATGCATGGGTGAGGCCTGTGTTTGGGTTAGTAGGATGGTAGATTGGGGCCTAGAATTCCGTCCAGCCCAGGGCCAGGCCAGGCTGGAGAGGGGCTGATGCTTGGTGGGGTGGGTGGGACCAGGAGGGTGTGGCCTAGTCCAGAGTTGTGGGGCCTGGGAAGAAATGGAAGGGTGCGAGGCAGGGAAGAGGCAGGGCTGTCGGGCCGGGTGGATCCTGGTGGATGAGTGACAGGTGATAAATCAAGGAGCAGGGAGGGTTGGCAGAGTCGGGGAAGGAGAGTGCAAGAGGGGAGCCCGACCTTCCTTCCCGGTCCCCCTGACCCCCCTCCTCCAGGTTCTGGTTCCGCCTCTACTGGTTCCCGCTTAAGGTTCTGTATGCCACCTGCCACAGCAGCCTGCGGTCGGTGCCCGACATTCCGTACTATTTCTTCTTCAACACGCTCCTGCTGCTCCTCACAGTCATGAACATCTACTGGTTCCTGGTGGGTCAGCCCTACGGGTCCTCCCTGTGCAGGCAGGAAGGGACCGGCAGCCTCAGGGTCTCACCGGTGCCTTCTCCCACAGTACATCGTGGCTTTCGCTGCCAAGGTGCTAACTGGCCAGATGCGTGAACTGGAGGACTTGAGGGAATACGACACTTTGGAAGCTCAGACCACCAAGCCCTGCAAAGCTGAGTGAGTGAGACTGGGTCTCAGGCCCCAGCTCCTTCCTTTAGGAACAGGCGTGGGCCCAGAGAATGCAGGGACCCCACAGAGAAAGTGCCTGAGGCAGAGGCGTGGATATGTAGCTAGTAATGCAACATCTGGGGATGAGAGTGGTAATAGGCCTTTCGGGGCTGGGAGTTGCTAGCTGGGCCGGAAGGAATGACCAAGAGATTGCATTGGGCCGGACTGTGACCCCCAGCCCAAAGGAGAGCAAGGCCTCCTCCACCTGCCCTGTTGGCCTGGGAGTCCAGGGTTGGCTCAGCAGCCAGGCGAAGGCTGGAATGATGCTGGAGTCTCAGTGGACCTCTGGGGCCCTCACCAGCCCCTAGGCTGGGTAGACAAGCGGAGTTCAGGACATGCAGCACCCCTGAGACAACGTGAAGGACATTGAGCAAGAGCAAGAGCAGGAGGCTGTAGAAGGTTCCAGAAGGTGCAAAACAGCCAAGACTGTTATATAAAGAAACCTTGTATGTGCAGTGCCCAAGAAGGCCAGAAGACGGTGCTAGATCCCCTGGAAGGCGTTAAAGATAGCCGTGACCCTTAATGTGGTTACTGGGAACTGAACCCAGGTCCTTTGAAAGGGCAATCAGTGCTCTTAACTAACCACTAAGCTATCCCTCAGTTTAATACAGTTCCTCATGTTGTGGTGATTCCCAACTACAAAATTATTTTCTTTCTTTTTTTTTTAGCTTAGTGGTTAGTTAAGAGCACTGATTGCCCTTTCAGTCTTGGCTGTCCTGGAACTCGCTCTGTAGACCAGGCTGGCCTCGAACTCACAGAGATCCATCTGCCTCTGCCTCCTGAGTGCTGGGATTAAAGGCGTGCGCCATCACTGCCCGGCTCATAAAATTATTTTCATTGCTACTTCATAACTGTAATTTTTGCTACTGTTATGAATCATGAAGTAAATATATGGCCCCGGTGAAAGGGTCATTTAACCCAAGGAGTCATGACCCACAGACTGAGAACTGCTTCTCTAGACCCTGGCCCGAAGTTGTTCTTCTTTTTAAAAATTATCTGTGCATTTATTTTGTTTGGATAGATAGTTCTCTGCCTGTGTATTGGTTCACTACCTGCGCACCTGACTCCCACAGAGGGGAGAAGAGGGCACCCAATCCCCTGGAGCTGGAGTTACAGACAGTTGTGAACTGCCATGTAGGTGCTGGGACTCAAACCTGGGTCCTCGGGAAGAGCAGCCAGTGCTCTTAACCATGGTGTGGACCTAAATTCTTGGAGTTGGGCCAGTTGCTACTGATGCTAGCATTCAGGAGGCTGAGGCAGGAGGATCCCCTTGAGTCCCAGGATGGCTTCAACTACAGAGACTGGTTTTTTTTGTTTGTTTGTTTGTTTTTTGGGTTTTTTTTTTTTTGTTTTCTGAGACAGGGTTTCTCTGTTTAGCTTTGTGCCTTTCCTGGAACTCACTCTGTAGCCCAGGCTGGCCTCGAACTCTCAGAGATCCTCCCGGCTCTGCCTCCCAAGTGCTGGGATTAAAGGCGTGCTCCACAACCGCCCGGCTTATTTTATTTTTTAAAAGATTTTTATTATGTAGTGTTCTGCCTGCATGTATCCCTGCAGGCCAGAAGAGGGCACCAGATCTCATTACAGATGGTTGTGAGCCACCATGTGGTTGCTGGGAATTGAACTCAGGACCTCTGGAAGAGCAGTCTCTCCAGCCCCTACAGAGACTGTTTTTAAAGAAAAACCTAGAAAAATAAATAGGCACATTTTCATTCCTACCAAATCTGGGGCTACAAAGGAAGTGTGCCGGCGCCAGCACCAGGGCATGGCGACATTCGCTTCCTGTCCCAGCTGAGCACAGAGAAGTCAGGCAGGAAGTGCATCAGACCTCACTGGTTTGCTCCCCATTGCTCACTCAGCCTGCTTTCTTACAGCACCCAGGACCACTCGTTTGGGGGTGGAACCACTCACAGTGGGCCAAGATCTCTCCCATCAATCATTAATCAAGAAAATGCCCCACAGACTGGCCTACAGGTTAATCTGCTGGAGGCCTGTTCTCGTTGAGGCTCTCTCTCTTCCCCATGACCCCAGTTTGTGTTAACGATAAAAAACTACTACAGTTGACCCCTTGTCAACCTGGCGCACAAACACATTAGTATTAAACCATAACCTCTCCTTTATTTTTCTCCCCAAGATCCCATGTTAATGTTACACTATAAAACACAGTCCAACTTTTAGAAGTTCCACAGTCTTTAGAAATCTCGTCACTTGCTAAGCGCGGTGGCACACGCTTTAATCCCAGCACTTGAGAGGCAGAGGCAGGCAGATCTTTGTGAGTCTGAATCCAGCCTGACCTACACATTGAGTTTCAGGTCTGATAAGTCTATATAGTGAGACCCTGTCTCAGAAAACAAACATAAATTCCATCACTTAAAAGTTCAACTACTCTGGGGTTGGAGACTTCCAGAAGACTGGGTTCAATTCCCAGCACCCACATGGAAGCTCACAACTGTCTGTGACTCCAGTTCCAGGGGATCTGGCACCCTCACACCAATGCACATAAAATAAAATTAAATAAATTATCCAAAGTCTCTCAACTGTGACTCCTGTAAAACTAAAAATAAATTAAACATTCCCTACTCTAGACATGATCGAAGTGTCAATTAAATCTGTACCTCAGTGTCTCAAATCTGGGGTTCACTCAAGATCTTCTGGGCTTGTCTCAGCTCACATTGGCTGCATTCCGCTGCTGCACTCCCATGGCCCTGGTATCAAACATGATGGCCTCTCTGCCTCAGCTGCTCTCCATGACCCCTTCATGCCTTGAAACTGGTACCACACAGGAGAGTCTCACACCTCACAAGGAAGGTGGCCCCCCTGGACCACAGCCAGTGTCTGACCCTGAGGAAACACTTGCAGGAAGGCTTCACAGCATGATGCTGGGCTCAGTGCAGCCGACCAGACCAAAAACCGTTGATCCCACTGAGCAAGAATAAGACCACTATCACAACTTTGGGGCCAAATTTGAAGCAGATTTTATTCAATACTGGCCAAGGTGATGGACACGGGCCAGGTCCATACTGGTGGTTCCCAGAGAATAGCCACAAATTACTTTAACCAGATGCTTATAAAGGCAAAACCCACAAAGCTACGTATTTGTACTTCCTGCCCTTGTCCAATGGCAGCAAGCATACATCCTGACGTACTTCCTGCCCGTGTGTGACCAAGCACATCCTGTGCAGTTGGGGCAACCAATCTCGTTTACTGAGGTGAAAACACACGGCTTGCTGTCTTACATGAACAGCCCCCAGCATTCCAGGAAGTTACCTGTCCTTGGACAAGTGGGGCTCACAGGCTAGAGGCATTTGTTTGATAGATCTCTTGAGCACAGTAATTACAACTGAAGACATAACTTTAGCCCCCACAAAGCCACATAGCCATAGTTCAAAAGATTTCATTTACAGGCCCGACAGACTCTTGCTCCGTAAGTGTCCGTCATGGTGGGAGTGATGTCAGCAAGCCCCACGGTAGCCAGAGCAGAAAGCTGGGGGTTCACATCCTAACCTGCAAGCAGTAGCCAGAGCAGAAAGCTGGGGGTTCACATCCTAACCTGCAAGCGGTAAGCAGAGAGAATATACTTCACATTGGATGAGGCCTAAAGATCCCAAAGACCACTCCCAGAAACATACTTCCTCCTAAAATGAGCCTATGGGGCACACTCTCATTCCAAGCACCACATCGAGGGGCCTGGGACTGGTGTGTGAAGCTTCTCCCAGGGCTATGAGTTCAGCCAGAGGATGAGGGCTGACTGAGCCCCCAGGAGGACAGCCAGTCTGTCTTACTCTGATGTAGGCAAAACTTCTAAAATCAAAGTGGAACAGCCACTTTGTGTTAGACCGAGAATCAATCAACTTCAGGCTGATTGAAACTGATGATTGTGTAACTGGGGTTCGGGGTCGGGTTGCATGCGCTGGGACATAGGGGCCTAATGGGAGTCTCATTTGGGATGTGTTGGATTGAATGGTACCCTTAATGTGGGCCGTGAGGTCTCTGAAGACATGGGAGGGCATATTGAGGAAGCTTCTAGAACATTCCAGAGGCTTCTACAAGGCTTAAGAGAACAGGGTAGGGAGACTCAAACAAATCTGAAACCAAGGAGGGCCTTCTTGCTGCAGAACTCTATATAGAGAAATGTTTGGAAATGCCGCACTCAGGGCTCCAGAAGCTGGATCCCTGGAGGGACCTGCTCTGTCCCGTTTGAGGAAGTCGGTGGTATGCCCCAAGAACACAAACTGCAGAGAGGGGAACACTAGCAACACCCTGCCAGCCACAACTCCCCATGGCCCTCCCTCAGGAGCTGACTGCAGAAGGCTGGGAGGGGGAGGGGCAGAAACCGCTGGGCTCCTCCCTTCTTGGGGAAACCTCAGTCGGCTGGAACTCCTGCAAGAATGGCCTGCCTAGCCATCCGGGTGTCATGAAATTTACTGTATTAATTAAAAACTCTAGCGCCTGGCTTGGTGGGCCATGCCTTTAATCATCCCAGCACGGGGGTGGGAGGAGTGGGGAGCAGAGGCAGAGACAGGTGGATCTCTGTGAGTCTGAGGCCAACCTGCTCTACAAAGGGAGTTCCGGGCTAGGGACCCGCAGAGAGGGACCCTATCTCAAAAGAGAAAGTCTAAAACTCCCTATAACTGGGGCTTGGGGTTCAGCTGGGCTGTAGAGCACGTGCCTAGCGTTGCCGAAGTCTGCCTTCCATTCCCAGCACTGGTGGACCCTCCAAACTTTCCCCAGACTCTGAATATTCTGAAGGGAGTTTGGGGGTAGGGCAGGCACACGGACCACAGCAGGGATGGTCTGGGTGGGAATCAGGGAGGGAGCCTGACTAATTCTACCTGCCAAGGTGGAAGCAGGGAAGGGAAGATGTTCAACAGGGAGAGGGAAGCGTGTGGTTCCCAAACTAATCTGTCCTGACTTCTGGTCCCCAGGAAGCCGCTGAGGAATGGCCTGGTGAAGGACAAGCTCTTCTGAGTCCCTGTCCTCAACTCGGCCATCCAGGACTCCTCCTATCCTACCTGGGAGACTGGCCCCGCCCCTGGAGACTCGACCCAGTTCCTGGAGGTCTGCTCCCGCCCCTGGGGACCTGGCCCCGCCTTTGGAGGCATGGCCTCGCCCCCAGGACGCCCGGGATGCCACTCTTCTCCAGGGACCCCGGCTGCCAGCAGCTCCGCCCTCCAGGTCAACTCTAGACCACCCACCTTGGGACCGCCGCCCAGTCCTGCCCTCCAGATCAGTGGGGCCCGGACACGCCCCCTCTAGGACCTCAAAGCCCCCCCGGACCTGTGGCCTCCAGCCTACTGGTCCCGGACACAGTGGATCCCGCTGACTCTTGGACACCGCCTGGGAGGAAAATGCTCCCTGTCCGCCACCATTCTGGTGGCCACCTCCTCTTTCTGCTCCTGCTCCTGCTCCCCTCAACGCCCCCTGCCCGCGCACCAGCACCCTCGGACCCCGCCTCCGCCCTGCTCCAGGCTCTAGGACTGCACGAAGCGCCCCGGGGCGTCCCCACGCTCCGGCCTGTGCCTCCTGTCATGTGGCGCCTGTTCCGTCGCCGCGACCCCCAAGAGGCCAGAGCGGGGTACCCTCTGCGACCGTGCCACGTGGAGGAACTTGGGGTCGCCGGAAACATCGTGCGCCACATCCCGGACAGCGGTGAGTAGGGGTTTGTGGTGGGACAAGGGCCCATGAGGCCGAGGGTCCTCCACGCGCCTAGTCCAGCCTGCTAGCAAGCTGGGACACTGTTTTCTTGGTCCTCTGAACTCAAGAACACATTCCCGGGGCTTCCCAAGACCAGACCCAACCTCAGCCCTGCCTCCAACCCCACCACCTCACACCCTTTGATGCCTTCCTTCAGGTCATTTTCCGGGGCCCCAGGTGCTGACTGGCCCATCTCCATCTGCCCAAGTCTCCAAGTGTAGGCACGGCGCCCCACAGTGTCTCTTCCTTGCATCTAGCGCCCTGCCCCCACCCGTCCGTCAGCAGCAGCGCCCTGCAGATGCGCTCCTGCCTCTGCACTCCCCTTCCTCCCCGTCCCGTCCCGTCCCAGTCCATTTGCCGGGACGCCGCGCCATGTCCGCTCTCTCCTCACCCTTCTAGGTTTGTTGTCCAGGCCCCTAGAGCCCGCCAGGACCTCGGGACTGTGCCCCAAGTGGACCGTCGCCTTCGACCTGTCTGGCGTGGAGCCTGCGGAGCGCCCGACACGTGCGCGTCTGGAGTTGCGGCTGGAGGCTGCGAACGAGGACATGCGCGGGTGGGAGCTAAGCGTGGCACTGTCGGCAGGGGCCGAGCATCCCGGGCCTGAGCTGCTGCGTGTGCCTGTGCCACCCGGGCTGCCACTACGCGCCGACCTCCTGGGGACCGCGGTAGCCGCCAACGCGTCGGTGCCGCGCACCCTGCGCCTGGCGCTGGCGCTGCACCGTGGAGCCGCCACGGCCTGCGCGCGTCTGGCCGAGGCCTCGCTGCTGCTGGTGACGCTGGACCCGCGCCTGTGTCCCCCGCCACGGTCGCGGCGCCACACAGAGCCTGGGGTGGGCGGTGGTCCGGGGGGCACGTGCCGCACACGACGGTTGCACGTGAGCTTCCGCGAGGTGGGCTGGCATCGTTGGGTGATCGCACCGCGTGGCTTCCTGGCCAACTTCTGCCAGGGCGCGTGCACGCTGCCCGAGGCGCTGCCAGGACCCGGCGGGCCACCTGCCCTCAACCATGCCGTCCTGCGAGCGCTCATGCACGCGGCCGCCCCGACTCCGGGCGCAGGCCCGCCCTGCTGCGTGCCCGCCCGCCTGTCACCCATCTCCGTGCTCTTCTTCGACAACAGTGACAATGTGGTGCTGCGACACTACGAGGACATGGTGGTGGATGAGTGTGGCTGCCGCTGACCACCCGGGACACCCTCGCAGGGACAGCCCCACGCGAAAGCAAGGACCATTTGTTCATGTTTTATTGGTGACAAAAAGCTTAAAACAAATTTGACCAAAAATTAAGTTCCATTGCGTTGGCGCAGGTGTGCCTGGGTAGGGGTCGGGTGGCCGCCGCGGGGTAGAGGTTGGGGGGCTGGGGCAGGGCGCCCAGCAATGAGGCCTCCACCCACGCTGGGGAAGAACCTGTGGGCTGTCACGCACTGGTCGGGCTCAGGAGGCTCAGGGGTGCGCCCGGGGCCTCTGAAGCTCAAATTCAAACAAATCCTCTGGCCGCGCGCGGTGCAGGCGATGATCCCAGGCTGCGGGGCTCAGGCTTCTCAGCGTTGCCTCTCTGGAAGCTTCTTGCATCTCCCAGGTCCACCACTAAGGTCTTAGAGACAAACTGATCAAAGTACTTGCCATACTCCTTTGAAAGAATCTTTGAGGAAAAAAAAAAACAAAAAAAACAAAACAAAAAGCAACAACAACAACAAAAAAAAACCAAAACCCTAAACACCGTATTTTCTTTAAATGAAACCCCTTGGCGCTGGGACCGCGCGATGACGCTCCTGGCCGCTCCGCTCGGGCACAGAAACGCGAAGTTCGTCCTGCTAAAACGTAGCCCCTCAATCACGAGAAACAAAGAAAAAGAACAGCGGGCCGGTGCTGGCGAGGCCTCCCCCTCCGGCGGGCGGGCGGGCGCGGCGCCGGGCCGGCCTTGCAGCGGTGCGGGCCTCTCTCCTCTCGCCGCCCGCAGGGGGCGCCCGCTCCTCGGCGCTCCGCTCCGTCGTCCTCCCTGGCGGCTCTCCGCTCGCTCTCGCTCCTCCTCTCTCCTCTCCTCGGCTGCTCACACAGTGGTGCTTCAGTTTTAGCAGTGGAAAACAGGTATCCATTTATTTTTATTTTTATTACCCAGAATAAGATGCTGATAGACTAAGCCACATAGCTTAGCTCCGCCGCCGCCACCTGTGATCAGGACAGGGCGAGAGGGGTCAGGGCCAAGCGGAAGCAGCACCTTCCCCACCCCACCCCATTGCACCTGCCTTCTAGTACTGGGACAGCCCGGTGACCCCCGCCGTGCTGGTATGCCCGCTCTCCCTGGTACGTGGAGTCTTGCGAGAGTGCCACGTCAATCTGTGATTTAAACTCATCGCCAAGGTAGCTGTCCTGAAAGGCAAAGCCAGAGTAAGCAGGCCGGACGCCCACCCACCCAGTGCCCAGATCCCGAAGCATGGCACGAAACCCACACCGTATACAGCCTTGGTGGCAGAGTGACAGCCCAGACAGAGTCACTCACCCTTCAAAAGGCCCCACAACGGTCCCGTGTGTGCCCCCCCTCCCCCACCCTTCTGCCGAAATGCTGCTGAGGGCCCACCTGGGACAGTTCCGGCTGGGAGAGGCCAGGCTGGCTCATCTGGGAGGGCTGGCTCATGGACACATAGCCCTGTGTGAGGGCACCCTGCGAAAAGGGCTGTGAGGCCACGTCCTGGCTGGCCTGGCTGTTGGGAAGGGTGGTCTGGCTGGGCCCAGGAAGCCCGAAGCGGTTTTTCTGGCGGCCTCCACGGCCAGTCTTGCTTTTTGGGGTGCCCCGGCCTGGAAGACAGCAGTGGAAGACTGTAGGCCCCACTAAGCCTGGAGTTCAGGTGAGAACCCAGGACGGCGATGACAAAGCCACTTACCCGCAGCCGGCCCATTGGCCTGTCCAAAGTACCCAGGTGGTGGCATGGGAGGCATGACCAAGTTGAAGGGAATGGGGATATTCATGGCGGCCACATGGCTGGGACCTGCGCTGATCATGCCAATCTGGTCGTGGGTCTGGAAGTACATGTTTGAGGGCCGGCCTGCAAGACACCTGGAGTCAGAGGCAGGGCGCCTGCGGACAATGTTGCAGCCAACTAGCTGCTGGGCCAGCCAAGCAGACAAACAGACGTAGGCTGAGCGTCTGCCACGCAGGACGTTTTTAGAGGGTAAGGATTGACAGAGGAGGGTAGGTGAGGCTCTGGCCATGACGGGAGCTTTCTGGGCAACTCAGAAGCTTCCAGAAAGCAGAGGCCAGCCTGGCTGAGGTGGACACTGGCCTGCCTCAGGGTACACAAGGGTGGCAGTACTCAGGCAGCTTATTGTAGACAGGAGGCCCTAGCCAGACCAGAGGGACCATGGCACAATCCACTAGTAAAGGCCAGAGCAGCCTGGATGCCTAGAAGGGGTCCAAGGGCCTGGCTGGAGAAGCCACAAACACCCACTGGGCAAGCTCCAGGCGGAGGCCAAGAACTGAGCCTGGGAGGCCACCCATGGGGTGACAGGACCAGACTGAGACATGGGAAGGTCAACACACTGGTGGTTGCCAGGAAGACTTACCCTGGCTGCTGCGGTCATAGACAGATCCAGGGATGATGGCCTCACGGGCATCATACATGGCTGTAGTCATGAAGCGGGCCCCCTGCAGGGTGGCATAAGAGCGAGGAATGTGTCAGTCAACAGCAGGAGGGGCTAAGAGCTCCCAGCTGTCCCAGGCCCGGGCCAGCCCGTTGGCCCACCGGGTTGACGGTGTTGACGAGCTTGCGAGGCTTGCTGAACTGCATGAGGCTCTCCCGCAGGTTGTTGAGGGGCCCTTCCACCAGTGCCTTCTGCTCCTTGTAGTAGCTCAGCAGGTGGTTCCACAGCGGCTGCTTCGACAGTGCCTTCGGGTTACCCACGATGATCACGCCGTATCTGCGGGCAACGGACAGATACGCTGCAAGCTCGGGTCACACCCACTGGCTCGAGTGTCTAGGATTAGTGCCCTGAATGTCAAGAGCTGGGTGCCAAGAACCAAACAACGCTGGTCAACAAATGAGGTGGCCTTAAAAAGCCGAGCCACCGAAACCAATTTAGAGAAGGAGGCCAGTCTCCAAGTGTCTGCAGTGGGCTGTCTGTAGGGTCATGGAGTTGTGTCCGTACTCCTGATCCAGCAAGGCAGGCCATAACGACCAGCTCTTGGACAGGGGTGCCAGATACAAGGACATGTCAGGTCTGAGTGCACTTCTGGGACAGACACGGGGAGCTTCCAGTTACTGGCTGGAGGGTGGAAGGTGGGAACGGGCAGATGCCTACCTCGCTCTGGTGAGGGCCACATTGAGACGCCGAGGGTCATTCAGGAACCCGATGCCCTGGTGCTCGTTGGCACGCACACAGGACAGGATAATGAAGTCCTTCTCCCGGCCCTGGAAGGCATCCACACTGGCAATCTCCACTTCCTGAAGGAGACAGTGTCCCATAAGCCACAGCCCCTCCTTCAGCTGCAGAGGCAGGAGCTGCATCACTGAGGTCAGTACAGCCAGATGCTACAAGTCCCCAGTGACGGAGACACCACACGCCCACCAGAGAGGCTGAGACTGCGTGGGCTGCATGATGCCAACTCTTGGCGCCGGTATACCCCAACACAAAACCACCAGAGCTCCACATCTGCCACATGCCCAGGACACTGTGCTGAGCTTCCATTAGGGTGCAAGTACCATGTCCCCCAGGCGGCATCAGCTGTCCTGCCCGTTTAATCCTGGCTGCTCTCTCTTTGAGACAAAATCTTACTGTGTCGCCCTGGCCATCCTGACACTCTGCTCATGCCACCAGAGTGCTGACACTAAAGGCACCACTTCCCACCACATCCTTTCTACTCTTGCCCTCAGCATAGTCCAGAAGCTACTCCGATGCACTTCCTGTGTCTCAAGGAGCTACCCTGCAGCATATCAGGCAGCCTTGAACATGATGCTGGCTAGCAATGTGTGGTCAGGTGCTCTCTCCTCACTGCTCAACACTTCCAGGCACATTTAAAATGCATTATTTGCTGTGTGCCCTTGCATATATCCCACAGCATGCATGTGACAACAGAGGACTTACAGCAGTCCTCTTCTTCCACTATGTGGGTCCCGTGGAGTACACGCTGGTCATCAGGGAGGCTGCACTCAGCCTCGGCCCTCGGGGCATCTTCTGACAGGTTCAAGTCAGGAGCAGGGCATGGGGAGTACGTACCTGGTAGAGCTTGGTGTGCAGGGAGCCACTGAACTGCATATATTGCACCAGGTAGGAGCGCTGGCCCTCGTAGGGTGTGATGATGCCAATCTGGTCAGGCTTGGCGCCCGCCTTCAGCAGCTTTGTAGTTATCTTCTCCACGTTGGCTGCCTCCGTCCTGAGACCATCTGGCTGTCAGTGACAGGGTCCCCACAGCCTGTCCCCAGCCCGATACACCTCCAGCAACCAAGGCGGCACTGGAGGCCACGTGACAGCCACCCACCCCTGCCCTTTACTGAGGCCCCTCACATGCTGTGACATGCACCACAACCCAGGGAGTGAGATGCTGTGGCGGCTCCAGGCATGGGCCGCCGCTGCACACCTGTTGAGGTAGGACGTGCCCGAGCTGGCAATCTCCTCCTGGCCCTGTGTCACGTAGAAGAACATGGGCTTGTCAGGCTGTGGCCACTGGAAGTCAAAGCCCTTCTTGACACGATCCGCTGTGTCAGGGAAGACAGAAGCGTCGCTGCTGAGGAGCCCCAGGGGCTCCAAGTGCACACACACTGACAGCAGGGGGGTCACTGTGCCAGTGACCCTGCCTCAGGGCTCCTGAGCTGGACAGGCCTGGGACAGAGCAGGGATGCCAAGGGGCCGGGCCAGCACTGTTGAAGGCATCCCCAGGGAACATGAGACGACACTCTCAGCCCTGGAGCCTGCACCACTGCACCTTAGTGGACCCAGAGCCCCCATGACTGTGGGGCCCGGGAGCTGCACATGTCACAATCGAGTGTCTATGCACAGGAATCTCTGCTCTCCTCCTCAGACCTGGGCCTGTCAGTACCCCGCTGGCCTAGGTACCACACTGTACCCCTTTCTGCTTGGCTGCCACCATTCTAGTTTTTTTCAGGCTGCTCACTGTGCGGATCCTCACACCCTAGATGCTAAATCCACTCACATCAGCTTATCCCATACCGGGAAGCTTCCTCCCAAGAGTCCCACGTGTCACAGCCTATCACCAGTGAAGGAAGCTGGCCCTAGAGGCACCTTGCCCTAGGCCTCCAGTGCACCAAGGAAGCACAGCGTGGTCGTTTGAACTTGTCAATGGAGTTTGGGGCATAACAGCCACCCATGGAGTTACACGTAGCCTAATGGGGCAGGCCGTGGGACCACAGGAGCTCTGGTGTCCACTAGGCAGGGTCTGTCTTGGCACAGCTTAGCGAGGGATGTGCAGGCCTGTCCCAGCATTTCACCTGTGATACCTGAGTGGTTAAGAGAGCAGACAACAGCAAACACCCGGGGAACCCTCCCACATTGGGGCAGCCATATAGGCCAGAGCAGGTACAGCCTGGCCAGCAGAGCAGTAGCATCGCCCCCTCTGGCTGCTGGAATCCACATGCCAGGCCACACAGCGCAGCTCTGAGCAGCTCCTTCCCTGTCAAGAGTTCATCAAACACAGGCATTCAAATCCACACTGACTCAATGAGAAATAAACCCACTGCTGAAGCTGTGTGTGTGTGTGTGTGTGTGTGTGTGTGTGTGTGTGTGTGTGTGTGTGTGTGTATGTGTGTGAGTGAGAGTGAGTGAGAGAGAGAGAGAGAGAGAGAGAGAGAGAGAGAGAGAGAGAGAGAGAGATGGGATCTCACTATGTAGGTAGCCCTGGCTGGCCTTGACCTCACAGAGATCCTGCCTTTGTCTGCTTCCTGAGTGCTGGGATTAAAGGTGTGCACCACCACCGCCTGGCTGATGTTATAAATTTTTATGAAAAATAACTTTATGCTGCAAAAAGGAGGCAGCGGCCTTTTCTTGCCTGTGGCCAAATCACTCCTCTTTACTGTCAGACTTAATGGAGGACGGCTGGGTCCAGGGTGCTTTCTGCATCAGCCTCCTGTAGCAGGTTCCAGTCATGAGGGAAGTCAGCTTCCACTCACAACACAAGCAGCTTGCGGCTGGGCAGGACAGGGTAGACACAGTGTCCAAGCCTTTCTGGGTTAACTACGGCTCATCGGATACCACAGCAAGGCACAGGCTGCTCTGTCTACTACCCAGCACCCTGGGTCCTCCCACTGCAAAGACCCTGAAGGGGGGTCACCATCATGGAGAGTATCAGGGCAGGGCCAGAAGCACACTCCAGGTGACAGGTGACCAGCTTCTGACCTCAGGAGACAGGCTCACACAGCTCACCTGCCCTGTTATGCTGTGATGACCCTCGAGGGTCTTGCCACCTGCCAGGTCTCCTCATCCTGTTTATCAAACTAAACCCTGCCCTCTTCTGGGCACCTGAGCACGTGATTCGTTGACACTTCAGTCAGCCACTACCCCAAAGGAAAGGGCTGGGCAGCTGTTGTCAGGGCGATTCAGTTCTAACCACAGGGACGCCACAGCCTGGGACTGACTGTCCCGGGCCTCTGTGAAGCACTCAGCCCACCACCCAGGACGAAGCAAAAGCCACGGGGGAACCCATTTACAGACCAGTATGGCCACCGGGGAGCCACCACATACTGCAGAACACCCGCACGGCCCAGCAACGCTGTGCCCAAGGTGCTGGTGTGACAGCGGCCTTAGGGAGGGCCGACGAGCCGCAGCCCAACTGTTACCTGCAGTGACGCCATTCTGCAATGAGCCCTCGTAGAAGATGTTGGACGGGAAGGCGCTGAGGGCGGGGTGCATGCGGTACTGCACCTGCAGGCGGATGGGCCGGATGCCCAGCACCACCAGGCGCTCAAAGAGCGACTGTGACAGTCCGGCCTTGGCTGCCTTCTTGCACATCACCACTGGGCCCAGCTGACAGTGGTCACCCACCAGGATCAGCTGTAGCAAGAAGTTCCTCAAGTCAACACCCCAGGCTCCAGGCAGCCTAAGTGCCCCCCACAAGGGACAGAGGTTCACCTCCACCATCTAAATGCAAGACTATGAGCGCCCCTGGGCGGCGGCGGGGGGACTGCTCAACGCGTACTGTGCCCACACACCAGGAGGTGTGGGCGGCAGTGGACCACATGGGGCTGAGCCCCCTTCAAAGACCTCTTCCAGGTCCTGTATCACCCAGCACCACTACAGGGGCACACGGGGCCACTCGAGTGGCAGGTACCCACCTGCTTGGCCCCAAGGACTACGGGCACCATGCACTCAGGCTCGGTGGCCTGTGTGCTCTCATCGATGAGGATGGAACGGAACTGCATCTTGGCCAGTCTTGGGTCACCAGCACCCACACAAGTGCAGCAGATGACATCTGCATTCTGGGGAAGGCACAGGCATCAGGGCACAGTCACAGTCTACCTCACCATGCCAGTTGGCTTAGGATGAGACCTGGAGGGCCCTGCTCTACACCCGCTCAGCAAGTGTATGTGTGTAGACACACCTGTGTGCACATGTGCACGTATCCTGCCAGGGTCTGTGCCGTGCGGCCCCAGGCTGGCTTTCTATGCACAGTTCCCCAACTGGACAAGCCGCTCCTTCTGCCACCCAAGCATCAGCACCACAGGCTACGAAGAGCACCAGTGTTCAAGGTGGTACAGCCTTCTGGGCACAATCCCCAGCTCTGTGTCTGCCAACAGTCTCCAGGACAGTGCCCAGCTGGTGGAACCCCAAGGCTGAGACTCACGTTTTGGAAGCCAGGTTTGCCAGAACTGGGAGGCTGACAAGTGGCAGTTGTGTGTCCCTGACTGCGGGCACAGACGTGGAGGCAGGGCCTCCAACTGCTCCCAGGCTCCTGACTTGGACAAGTCCCTCGAGCCCCTCTGCCCACAGAAAAGGCCCCACGTCCCTGGGCGGGCACCACACTCACCATGAGCAGCTCTCTCTCCGCTGTGCGCTTGAGCGCCCGATACCGCTTCTCATCTGCAGACGACAGTTCCCCTGTCTCATCCTTCAGCTGCTGCAGCTTCTGCAGCTCAGGCATGCTACAGAACACATGGCAGAGTCAGCGCCAGTGGCAGAGTGCAGCCTGTACTGAGGCCCCAGAAGCAGACACTCACCTGTCCATATTCCTGATCTGGTTGTGGAGAGCCAGGAAGGACACCGGGGAGTCAATGGCCTCGCGGCTCTTGGCACAGAGACGTACAACCTTCAGTCCGGTCTGGTGGATCTTCTCTGTGAGCTGGTCCACAGCGATGTTACTTGGGGCACAGACCAACACAGGCCTGCGGAGGAGAGTGGAGTGGGCTGTCAGCATTCCCCAGGGAGGCTCAGCAAGGGCCCACAGCAGAGCTGCACCGCTCTGATTCCAGCATGCACAGCCATGCCAAGGCAGAACAAGTAAAGGTTCCCACCGCCTACCAGCCGCCAGCACCCTCTCCTTCATGTGAGGCAGGCCTGTGGTTGTGGGACACACAAGGCACCTGCACACTGCATGTATTTTCTCTGTGGCCCTAGCAGAGCTGCAACAGCCCACCAGACACTGCCACTTCCCACTCACAGGGCTATTACTGTTGAGCACCTACCCATTGCCCTGCCGAGCAAGGTGGTAGACAATAGTGGCAGACGTCACAGTCTTGCCTGTGCCTGGAGGGCCCTGGATGAGGCTGAGTGGTCTCTGCAGCACGGTCTTCACAGCATACACCTGCAAGGATGTTGCGTCAGCAAAGCTGTGATCACTACAGCTCCCCAAACAGGCCCTGCCCCTAGGGTCCCAGTGGCACCTGAGAGTGGTTGAGGTCGGGGAGTCCCTGAGCTGTGAAGCGCTTTGGCAGCTGGCACTTGATGACCACATCCTCCACCTCGTGGCCCAGCAGCTTATGGTAGATGTATCCTGACACAGAGGTCTCGTCCACAGCGAAGGTCTTCAGCGCACTCTGCATCCTGAAAGGAGAGCCGGTGTAGGACCCATGTGGGCCACAGGGACTGGAGGTGGAGGGGTCCCCACGGCCCTAGCACCCTGGGGCATAGGCAGACGAACCGATCAAAAGAGGTCGACTTCCACACAAAATCCACCTGGAAGTTGTGGGTCACCTCCACAGGTGCGCCCACCGCTGCTGCGGAGCTCAATAGCAATCTCATCACCGTAATCTGGCCGCTGAGTTAAGTCTGCTTCCTGCTCAAAGCCGCTACCCTCTACAGGGCCACTGGCTTCTGGTCCTCCTGAGTGACACTCCATCCATCACTAGACCAGTTCCCCTTGGTGTCCACCCAGGGGACTGCTGTAGTCCGACCCCAGGCTGCTGCACACAGACATGTACATGAGCATGCAACAACAACAGCACTGGGGCGGGGCAGCTTCTAGCCAAGACATGTATGGTGCCAACACGTGCATACCCACAGAGGGAAGACAGGAAGGGATCGACAGCCAGGGTCCTGTCATGGCACCCATCCTCCCAACTGATATGGCAAAGGATACTATCAGGGACCTTGATGACGTGGCCAATCCCCTTCCACAGGGGTGCTAGGTCCCCTTTGTACCGCAGACAGATCTCGTCACCCCTGCATGAGCCGCATATCTTGCAGAAAGGAGCAGCAGAGTTAGCACTTTCCAGAGGGCCATGGCCTCCACCATACAGAGTTCACATAAGGACATGATACAGGGGACTAGGAATTTTATGCTACTTATGGTCACAAATATTTTAAAACTTAAAATCACCTCTTAACCCAAATTATGACTAAATCCTCATTACCAGAGTCAGTCTTGGGCAAAGTGAAGAAGGCGATTCTCTTCTTGTTAAGGCCCAGGTCCCACCTGACTGTGATGTTATCTTGAGTCTGAACATACGAGAAACAGGGGCCTGGTTAGCCCTCCACCCACTCACGGGCTGGGCTCCCCACAGGCAGGGGCCTCCAGGAAGGCCATGCCTGTGCTGTGCAGCCTCTGGAGTGCAGTGCACAGCACCCAGGGCCAGGAACGCCAACATCTGGGAAAGAAGCAACAAGGATGCCCCAACACCTACTGCCTAAGCCAGTCCCAGCCGCAGGCTTTGCAGAGAGCCTCAGCAGACCCGAAAAGGAAGGTGCTTGGGGGACCGGTGGCACGGGGCCCACCTCCCAGAAATGTTGCTGGAGCTGCAGACAAAGCTGTTAACCAGACACAAGGGGTTCTCTCTGATTTTAAAACCAAGAAACACTTTAGGCCTTCTTTCAAAATGCCCAGAGCCCTGGCCTAAGGCCGTTTACGTGCCCGGTTCCGTCCAGGTTCGAGCCCTCAGGAGACGCTTTGCTAGAGACCCAGCCTACATGCTGCACCACGTCACCTGTGACTCCTTCAGTTTCTTGTCGTAGTCAGCCTCTAGCTTGACCAGGGGCCCGAAGATGTTCTGGTACTGGTAAGCATCCTCATACCGCAAGAGCACATGCTGTGGCTCCTCATCCACACCTGGCTTCTCCAGGTCCTCCAGGGTAGCCGAAGGGTTTTCCTATGGCCGAGAATAGCACTGTGCTCACCCTGTTTAACCCATAGCCAGCGATCAAGAGCTCGGAAGGAACCCAAGGCTTGCATGGCCTCTTGGCACAAACCCTCATGGGTGGAGTGTGGCCACTGTGCTGTGAGCCTGTGCTTAAACCTATTGTCCTGATGGTTGTGGGCATGTCTGGCAGCATTCTGATCCCAAGAAACCTGGAGAGAGCATCCCCAGCGCCCAGCACAACACACAGGCCCACAACCAAGGGCTCGTAGAGTCCTGGACTTCCTCCAGTGAGCTGGATCCATCTCCTGTATCCTGCACCCTCATGCCTCCCCTGGGACCCACTGCCTTCAATAAGCCCCACTGTTGAGACAGGACAGAGTCTAGGCACACCAGATAACTGGAACCTGGCCACCAGGTGCAGACTGAGATGGACAAGGCTCACAACGCTTTTGTCCCACACTACTTAGGATTCCTGGTCAAAGGTGCTCAACTGACATCCCTAACGAGATGTGAACAAGGTAAGAGCCTGAAGCTAGCCCCAGCAGGGCCTAGGGAAGGCAGGGGCCAGAGCCCCATACCTGACCTGGAGCCCTGACTCGTCCTGAGACAGGGACAGGTGCTCTCTGAAACAGGAATCTCATGACAACCTAAACCAACGACTCAGACCGTCTGCTCTGTCCCCTTCAGCCAGCATACAAAGACCCCACAGCCCCACAGGCCCCCGTGTGTGTCAGGCTGGCTGTGTTGGGCTAGTGTCTCTGCAGGACAGCTCACCTTCCACAAGCTCCTCCAGCTTGTTGATCTGCTGTGCCGTGATCTGCCGTGCCCGAAGCTGCTCCTGCTCCGAGGGAATCTTGACCAGCCATGACAGGAAGCACCGGTCCTGGATCAGGGGCTGCCACTGGGAGCTGTCCCAGTTGATGTCCTTCAGGCTGCTCTGGCTGGCACAGGGCTGCCTGTGCAGGGGTGGGGCAGGAGAGCGGGTTGGGACCTGGCCCAGGAAGCCTCTGACTAGCCTGGAGCCAGCAGCATCCGCGCACTTCAGCTCTGGCCCCAGCTCACAGCAGACTTGCTTGCTTCCTTCCTTTTTTCGGTTTTTGGAGACAGTGTCTCATCTACATAGCCCTGGCTGGTCCTGGATTCTCTATGTAGACCAGGCTGGCCTTGAATTCAAGATCCTCCTGCCTCTGCCTCCCCAGTGCCGGAATTAAAAGCCAGACTTGGTTTTCCAATTTGACCGGAATACACACAAGAGCCCCTTGGGTCCCAGCAGTCCGCCCCCCGCCGCCCCATGTGGGCAGCTCACCTGCACAGCAGCACCACCACCGAGTCGGCCTTCGCAGGGATGAAGCCCAGCAGGAAGACGTTGCGGCAGCCGCAGTTGTAGCACTCCAGCACTGTCTCGCCCAGCGGCCCGTCCTTATGCAGCGTCACCTCCTTGCACTTTGCCCTCACCAGGTGATTTACAATGTGGCTGGGACCAGGAAACCATTGGCAGTTAACACCCAAGCCTGGCTCTTCACCACTTCCAGTTCTGTAGCCCCAAGGAACGCTCTGGGTACTGTTCATGGTTCTTTAGCACAGGTAGTCATACCTCAGGCCTATGCACCCGGGAGCCACAGCCTTGCCTCACCCCATCTGCCTGCAGAAATCGTTCACCGTCTCACACAATCCCGCCATGTCCCCCACTCCCGTTTTCTTTAGCCCCAGTTCATGGTCCTAATCCCTCTAACAGTCGAGTAGGCGGGCACAGCATGGCACCCCCAGGAGGCCCTTTTCTCCCGTGCACAGTCTCTGCAGCAAGAGGCTGCTCTGAGGAGCACAGCTCCCATGCCTTCCATATAGGAGGACATGGCCTACCTCAAGGGTGGCCCACGGGCTCTGCCAGCTCTTCCTGACTGTCATAGGAGACACTAGCACGACCCCATGACAACCTTCACCAGAGTCCTCTGGTGGTCATCCAGCTTTGCAGACCTGACTCCTCCTAAACAGTGGTCACTGGATGCCTTGTTTCAAGTGGCCAATTTCCCCATCCCAATCCAGGACAGGCCTTCCTCCTGCCTACGGCGAGCTTTATTCTATTGCTTCTTCTGCACAGAAGGAGCTGATGCCAACAGAGCAACACTTCAGCTATCTAGAACCTTCTGAGAATGGGACGTGCTGATCCCTGAAGGTGACTATGAGACCATTTAAAAATGCTGGCCCCTGCCTCACTGCTCCTGACCCTTCTGCAGACCTGGCATCTACAAGTCTCTGTGGCATTCTTTCTAAAAAATGTCCTGAGATACAGACCGCTGCTGGTAGTGAGGCACAGGCACACCAGACTCAGCTCTGCTTCTCCCCTGCTGGCAATGGGAGGACCCTGACACCATCACGGAAAGCCAGCATGGAGTGGGGCTCAGCAGCAGCACCAGGATGTAACGATACGACTTGGGGTCTGGAACCATTCTCCCAAGACAATCAAGTGAGGTGGGCCAGCTGGATGCCCATGGCCTCCCAGGAACGAGGACAAGCAGGCCATGCCAGCCTCATCTCACGAGAGACAGGCGCACACTGAGAACGAAATTAAGCCAAACTCCTCGCATAATGAGCAAGCCAGAGAATCAATCAAGGGTAAACATGCCGAGGCGTTCACACGCCACCATCTGTTTCAAGTTACACCAGGCAGAGGGGGAGCCCAGGTTCACCAGCGCCATTTCACTCCACGCCTCACTCCAACGTCATCCTAGCTCCCAGCACCCAAGCACCACTGATTAAACACACATGCATGGCTGTCAGCTACCTGCCAGAAGTATTTCCTCGGCCGTTGCAGAACCACTTCTTGCTGGTATTGCAGTAAACCACGCAGGCAGGATCATGGATTCCGCAGTAACTGGAAAAGTCCAAACCCACAGTCAGCGCTGGCCCACAGCCTCTGGGGTAAATCCTGCCTCTTACAGAGCTTCTGGTTTCCATTAAACACAAACTCGACCCCAGCAAGTCAAGTAACAAAGTCACCTCCACTGACACGGCAGAGTGAGGGCGACGCAGACGCCAGGCAGCACCGGCCAAGGCGGTCCCGGCCCCTCTCCTCAGCCTGCAGGTTAGGAACAAGGCTGTGGTCAGGGGAGCACCTGACTCCGGCAGAAGGCACTGTGGGCCCAGCGAAGCCTCAGGCCCAGCTCAGAGGCTGGTGGTGCTATGAGGTGCCCCACGCACCCTAAATCACTGGTTCTCCCTAACTCCCCATAGCTCTGCTGTGCACTGGGCAGGCAGGGGCAGGAACTGTCCAACCAGAACATGCTATCACTGGCTCTCTAGTCTAACGTGGTCTAAGGAGGACTAGGGCGCCCAGCTCAGCCTGCCTGTGGCTCTGGGAGCACTTGTCAATCAGGAGAGCCATGAGTAATGAAGGTGGTAGGTCTGTGGGGCAGCGAGGCCAAACTTGTCCTGCAGAGGGTAGCAGGTGGCTGCAAAAGACCCAGTGGGGACACCAGCTCTGGCCTTGGGGACGGACAAGCCGAGCTGGGTGTGTGCAGCCAAGACAGGCCAACTCTTTAAGCCTTAACTCCTTTGTGTGCCTCTGATGGAGCTGAGGACCGTAGTTGACCAGGACACAGGCCAGACTGTCCATGCCCCACCTTTTAGAGCGGCTCTTCAGGCTCCCTGTGGCTCCTCTCTAGCTCCTAACAACCAAGGAGGACGGGTAGTGCAGGGGAACCCGTCAGAGCTACATGAATTCAGGGTGTCGGGCACTGAGCCCAGGGTCCCGACAAGCAACAGAGACTCTGGAGCCACCTCGTGACCTACCTGCAGGCGTGGACTGGGAGGTCCTTGGTGTAGTATGTGTCTTCTTCATCTTCTTCAAAGTTCAGCTCAGCCAGCAGTTGGCTGGTCTTGGCCACACTGTCATCCACAGCCCCATTCTGCAAGATGCCCTCTGGTCCAACCTACAGCAGAACACAGGGGTCACCAAGGCAGCCCCAGGGTGCCAGAGCTGGCTGACAGCGTGGTGTCCCACTGAGTCTGACCCCACCTGGCCATGGAGCGCACAGCTAAGCAGCCAAGAGAAACTATCCCCACAGATGAAGTACGCAGGAGTAAGACAACTAACCTTTCCAAACCCTTTACACACACCCTAGGAATAGCTGTGTACCATGAAGGCAGAAGCCTCAGTTAAACTACCATGGAGGTGCTGCAGGCTGAGACAGAAACCAGACATCCATGCCCAGTTTGTGCCTTATGGAGAGGGACACACCACCAGGGAGGGCCTCCAGGTCATGGCACAGGACATCTGCACTAAAGTCCCACCGAGACCTGCTGCTTTGGCTGGCCTGAGGGGGCATAGCTCCATCATCACCCCAGGAACCTCAGCCCCAGAGCACCAGCCCCTTTCCCCAGCAATTAGCCACCAGGTGGCCAGGCAGCTGGGTGTCTCCAAAGACCCAGAAGTAGCAAAGCCACCAGTCCAAGCACCAGGACTCAGACCCAAGAGGTAGAAACAGACACGTCCTGATCAACCCATCAGTCACGTGGTTCAGCACCAGGTTCCCACCTTCAGCCACCTCCCAGCTGATGCTTGTGGATGAAGCCACATGCAGGTATTTACTAGTCACTTCTCAGACCCTAAAGACAGGGTGCCCATGAAAGGCCAGGATCCCGGGGGCAATTCCCAACACCAGCAAGAGGCACTTCTATGGCTGGGCATGTGTCTGTGTGTGCTCAGCCAGGCCGCAGTCACCCCATGTCTATACTGACTCCAGGGGTAGGCATGGGGAGTGTGCTCTGTGGTCTACACGCATTTTTAGACAAGAAGACCCAGAGTAACTTCTAGACTCATCTTCCTCAGCACAAGGGACAGAGCCAGGGCCTCCTGTGTGTGGCAGGAGCTCTCCCAGCGCTCTCTCCAGCCCTGGCCCTTTATAATGTATGTCATTACAAAGAAACCCTTTAAAACTGTGACAAAAGCCGGGCGGTGGTGGCGCACGCCTTTAATCCCAGCACTTGGGAGGCAGAGGCAGGCGGATCTCTGTGAGTTCGAGGCCAGCCTGGTCTACAAAGCGAGTTCCAGGAAAGGCGCAAAGCTACACAGAGAAACCCTGTCTCGAAAAACCAAAAAAAAAAAAAAAAACTGTGACAAAAAACCCAGAGCAGGCCAGGTGTGGAGGCAGGATTACCACAGGTTCCAGGATGGGCTGGATCAGGGCTGCTTTGTTTTTTGTTTTGTTTTGTTTTTTTGTTTTTTCAAGACAGGGTTTCTCTGTATAGTTTTGGTGCCTGACCTGGATCTCGCTCTGTAGACCAGGCTGGTCTTGAACTCACAGAGATCTGCCTGGCTCTGCCTCCCGAGTACTGGGATTAAAGGCGTGCGCCACCACCGCCCGGCCGTCAGGGCTGCTTTTAAGTGAGCATGTCAGTAGCATTCTCACCCTGTGACATGCCTGTCCCACGATGGCCACTCAACACCCACTTCTCCAGAGCCACGACCAGTATGAACTTTGTGTGCTAGAATACTAGGGAGCGCCTGTAAGTGGGGCTCTGACAGAACCTGCCTGGTTCACTTCCCTGAGCCACGGCCTGTGAGTCACCAGCTTGGGACCCCCACCTTACTCAAAACCCAGCCATGCTAGACAAAACCTCCTGTGAAGTCCATTGTCACCGTCTCTGAGCTCCAGGCTGGCAAAACTGAAGAGCACAGTGACCCAGTGCCACATCAGCTTCCGGGAGGCTGGCCGCGCGCTGAAGCACAGGCAGGCAACAGATCTGCTCACACTCTTTGGCAGGGACTTGCACCTCAATACTTTGTGGGCTCCATGGGCTGACACACAGAAGAGCTCAGAGCCTACCTGGGACCTGAGCTCTAATAGGGGCAGGCTCTGGGTGACTCTGGTGGTCGGTCATACAGGCCTGAAAAGCAGTGAAGCAGGACTAGGAGTCTGTCATGACTGCTGTGACTATGGCTACTACAGAGTCCAAGGCTACGTCTCAATTCTCCTGCCCACACACCATCATACCTGCTGCTCCGAGGAGCCACCAATTCTCCCCAGGTCACATCATTTTCCATTCCCCCCACGAGCACAAGAGCTCCAATTTCTGCCTGTCTCTGCCATGAACGGTGTCCTCTAGCCATGCAAACGGGGCTGAGATGGAATTCTAGGGTGGTCTTGAGCCACCATCCCTATGACCATGCAGCTGATGCCTATTGTGACCATGCATGAGCTGTTGCCAATCTGTCCCCTTTCCCATGTGTCTGAGCCCCCCAATCCCCACTCCATGTGGTGCCTGGCCTGGAATTTTGACAGATGGTCCCCACTGTGCACAGAGGCTGGGCTGCATCACAGGGATGGGAAGGAGGTTGATGTCTCAGTGGTCCTGACTCAGCTTTTTAAATAATTTTTTTTTTGCTTGTCTGTGTGGGGGTGTCAGATCTTGAAGGTACAAACAACAGGTGTGAGCTGCCACATGAGTGCCGGGGAGCAGCCGGTGCTTTCAACTGCAGAGCTCTCTCCCCAGCCCCTGACTCAGCCTCTTATTCCTTTAGGGAAGCTGTCTAGTGACAGGGGCGGTGGTTCTTATTTGCTCCCGGGGTGCTGGGATGGACGGAGTACTAAGACTTCTGGGTGGGCACACACTGCTGAGCTGCGTGGCAGCCACAGATTCGTGTCAAGAACAGCTTTTCCAGGCCAACTGTAGTGGTATAGGAGGGAGAGAGAAGCAGATCTCTTCAAGTCCAAGGCCAGCTGCATCTACAGAGTTCCAGGCTAGTCAGAGTGCCACAGTGAGATCCTCTCTCAAAAATAAAGTTTTCAAAAGGAAAGAGGGAACTATCTTTTCTGCATGTGGAGCAGTCAGTTGTGGGACACCACCAGGGCACCGATGTCCTAACAGCACTGTGCTTAGGTCCCTCATGCAAGCTACGGACAGGAAGCCCTGGTCATCCCGAGAGGCAATACAAGACAAATACAAGGAACATTCTCCAGCACTCCCACAAAGGCCAGGCTGGAAAGAAGATTCCAGACTCGCTGCAGAGCCTAGCAACGGACTGGCCACTTCTACACATTCTGTGACTGTTGAGGACAAACATCTCACACTCTCAGAGGTGCATCTGGTCCCAGATGGTAACAGAATGAGCTAAGAGCAAGGGATGGCACCTGGCACAGAGCAGGGACAGACCCCACAGCAGGCAACGCAATAAGGCTGCATGAACACTATTGCCTTGGCCAGCACAGGGCTGTAAGCCCTTGCCCCATGAGGAGGGCCAGGGCACACTGCCAACTCAGCAGACCCAAAGGCATGCCGTAGGTTCCCCAGCCAACTCAAGGCCCCAGGCAGGGCTGCTGGGTGTCTCAGGCCCCACTCCAGGAGAAAGTGCTCTAACACAACACTTAGGCTCACCCTGAAGCTGTCAAGTGAATTAAACCTACAAGGGTCACCTTCCTGAAGACTGATTCCTACAAGCCACACAGAACTCAGACCTTGGAACAGAGCAGTGCAGAAAGGAACTCTGCTTCCAGAAGAAACTTGTACAAAGTCTCCACTGTGTGGTGCTGTGACCTCAGACTAGAGGTGTGCTGCAGGACTCACGGGCATCACCCCACTTAAGTCTGCTGGCTGGTGCCCCAGGGCCTTGGTTGGCCTATACTGCCCTCAGCCTCAGCTAATCTGGCTAAATGCCTCGAGGTGCAGAGCACCTGCCAGGGCAGCGTTGAATCCATATCTGGCCCCAGGGCTGCTGTTTGGCCTGCTCCTTGCAGAAGCCCCACCCCTGAAGAGAGCCTGCCCTCCAGGAGGCCCCAAGAGTCTTAGCCAAATCCACTTCTGCCCTCCAAAACACAAATGCTGGGATGTAAAGTGAGTCATCTCTTGTTCTTCCAGGCCCTAAGCAGGAGATGAGTGGGAGCTCCATAGCCCGGGGTACCCCTCCCCCAAACCTACAGAACAGCCACATCCCTTCAGCTGGCCTTTCCAGCCTCAGGAGAACAGGGCTTAGTTAGTGTCTGGATCAAGACCCAGCTGGGGCTGCTCCTGACCTGTGAGGCTCTGAACTTCCTTAACCTTAGTTTGGACCCAAGCTGAGTCATACCTTTTTGACCTACAAAGAGGGTGACCCCGCTGGGTCTGGCTCAGCAAGAAGTCCCCCTTTCCCCATCCTGTGGCCTTTGACCTTTATTCTGTGTGGTATGAGCTCACCTATCCCTCACAGGCACACAAGGATGGGACCACACAGGTAGCAAAAAAGCACATGTACGGGTCACCACAGCCAGAAAGAGCCCATCCTGGGTGACGGTGCAGCCTAGCACCCCGGGGAGCCGCACACCTCTCTCAAAGCACCCTTGCGTCCTGAGGAAGCACCAGTGCTGCAGGCATGCTGCCCACCAGGACAAGGCTGGACAGAGCTGGAGCAGACTGTCCCAAACCATAAAACATCCCACCTCAGTGACCAAACTCTTCACACCGTGGGCCACCAATCAACACCTAGACTCTAGGGGCCTTTTCTCTCACTAGACCAAAGGGCAGGGTTACTTGGCCGTCTCTGAGGAGAGGGCTCCAGTGCCCTGGTCATTCAGAGACCATGTACACATGTCCAGAGGCATGCACACAGCACACAGCATGGCCATGGCATCCCCTGCTTCACCTTCTGCCAGTCCTCTGCTTCGCCCTACTCAGGCCTTTCTGCCTAGGGCAGATCAGAGTGCCCACAGCCCCTACCACCTCTAGGCCATGCTCTCTCTCACCCAGCTTAGAGGCCAGTGCCCCCAAAGGCTTCCACAAGCACTCAGGTCTCCCTGACTGCCACCATCCTCACAGTGCTGAGTGGGCACCATGAGCAGCTGGCCGGGCCTTCCTCCACCAGTCAGTCCTCCATACAGGAGGAAAGAAAGGCGCCTTTGGGGCTAAGGGTAGAAGCCAGGCCACAAGCTGTCACGAGGTCATGTGGTGCACAGAAGACACCTGAGGTGCAGAGGGGGTGCCAGTCCCAGCCAGGAGCATGGCGAGGGCCTCGGGGTTCCCATCTGCCTCACGTGTGACTACTGGCTAGTGGGCATTGTGGTGCAGGTGTTGTCTAGAGGAGAACTAGAGCGCCAAGAGCCACGGTGGCTGCAGCCTCTGAAGACTGCTGCCCCAGCATCCGAGGGCCTCTCAGAGGCACAAAGGGGCTGTCCGGGTTAGCTCACATCTCCCCTGGCAGACAGACTAGGTAAAGAAGCTAAATAAGACAGATTTCCACCCGCAGTGGGACACTGCGGAGGCTGGACTCAAGTCTTCAGCTCTGGCAGTAGCAGGTGTGATGTGGCCCACTAGGCTAAGGAGCCACCCATGGACAGTGAAGCTGGGCAGGATGGAAGTTCCCTGAGAAGAGGACAAGCAAGCTGGCCCTGTGTCCTGCGACCAGGCCTGGATGGAGTGCAAGAGTCCCAGAGCTCGAGCAGCACTGTCCCCAGACAGTGATGTCCCTCCCTGAACCGATCCCACTTCAAGGGCAGCTGAGGACATCGAGCCAGCGGCCTGTAGGCCACTTTTCTCTGCACGTTATCATCATCCAGACCTGTGTAGACACGACACCTGCACCCTGCTGGTTCACCAGGAGGTGGTAGGTACTGGAGGATCCACAGCAGCACACCAGAGTCCCAGGTGGTACCTAGAGCCACTAACCCCCCAGGTCACCAGTACGGGAACACAGTGGCATCTGTCTCCTAGCATTTTCATTTTCACCATTTCACTTACGACGGAAGGTCTGTGTGCTGCTAAGCATGTGACAGTGGGGACAGGTCCCCAAAGACCCATCACATCACAACAAAGGAGCCAGCGCACTCACCCTCCTCCTGCAGCTCCTCCATGCTAGCTCTTATCCTGACAGGTGCCCACACCCCCTGACCCTCCACTGGTCCTGTTTCCACCAGATTTCACTGTTAGAAAGAAGGGCAATAGTGGTGCTCAGGAGGTGAGCAACCCAGGAGTCTTCCCCACCAGCCAGCACAAACGACAGATATCTGAAATTCCCTTTTGGTCCTCACAGAGGAAATAGGGACCTGGATGCGTCAAGAACCAGAAAATAAGAAGCCTGGCCTATCTCAGAGACTCTGCAGGACAGTGCCAGCCCATTCCATCTGGACCTCAGGGTTCTGTCGAACACTGGGGCCTTTCACACTAGAAATGGGGGTTCTCTAACACTGGCCCAACAGTCCTCTACCTCTAGACTTCAGAGTCAAATCCCCACCGAGCCAGCATACAGAGCCATACACTGGGCAGCAGCCCCTACAACCCCTCAAGCAGTGGGAACATGGAACTCCAGGACAAGCTTCTTCCCCCAGAACACCTCCCACAGGTGCTAACCCTCAGCAGAAAAGTCAGCAGGGATGGGTCTGTGCAGCGAAGTCATTCAGTCACAAAAAGGACACAACACATGCCAGCACATGGATGTACTCTGAGGTCATGACAGCAACTGAAGAGCCAGGCACAGAGCTGGTGAACAACAGTTGAGTGTCTGCCCAGCACAGACAGGGCCCGGGTTCTGTCTGCACTCCAAAGGAATAAGCCACAAAAACGACAGACACGGGACCACCACACCATGCCATCTATACAGCAACAGAAAGGGTCCATGACCCTGCTTCAGTAAAGCTGGGGAGGACCACCACTGGACCAACAGGAAAAGCTCAACCTACTGGGTGGGTGGCCCAGCCTCCTAGGAGCCCCTGACCAAAGCCCCAAATCCACCTTGAAAGATGAGTAAGGGAAAATAAATCAATGTTTCTGGTGGCTAAGCCCACTAGGTGTGCAAGGGAGGACTTTTTCCACTTTCCAACTCTGTTCACTTTCTGCCCACAGATGCAGGGCCTCCTAAAACAAGATGGAAGGCGTTCCCTCCCTTCCCAGACGCCGATTTGATGTTAAGAGAGGCCACAGGCGGGTGGAAGCTCACGGCTCAATCTACAATCTCAACTGGCAGAGCAGGGTACATCCATGTGAGCACAGGCACAAGTCTGCTGCTGCACTTCAGCTGCAGCTCAAAGACCTGCAGATGAAGCAGCCCCCCCCCCCCCCCCACACACACACTCCTGGTCTTCCAGCTGCGCCATCACAGCCTGCTGCATGGTGGGTGACCCCACACATCTCTCCCCTCTCCAGATAGATGAGGCTGAAAGGAAGGTCGGTCTACACAGCTGCCCAGCGGGGGAAGTGACAGAAGGCCTGGCCTTCAGGGCCACCTCACTCCTGTTCTCTCCCCACCTCCCCACACCAAAGGTAAACAGCGAGAAACAGCATACACCTGTGCCAATGCAGATGCCGCTGTGGGGCTGAGTCAATCCTCTCCTTCTATTAGGGCTGAAAATGAGCCCAAGTGGGTGGTCTACCCACAGGCATGACTCAACCAGCCAGCTCAAAGGCCCTCCCCCAACAACAAGGTCTGAGATCACTGATGAGGACTGGTGGTGTCTCCCTAGCCCCAAGCACAGGGACACCTGTGGCTCCAGCCTGTAGCTCCTCCCCGAGAACACAGAAAAACAAAGCCCAGAGGTGCCCAGCACCAAGCCAGCCATAGGGAGAGCCATCTGATGAGGTGGTGGCCAGTTCCCAGCCCAAGCTGAAATGCCTATGCCGCCTGTCATTCAAAACAAAAGTCCCTCCCAGAGGCACAGTCACCCATGTGATACCCACTGTCGATGCCTCTGAGGAGCAAAACTCAAACCCAACTTTTCCAAGCAGAGCCTAGGAGTTACATAACACTGGTTTCAGCAACAGGCAAACCGAAGAGGAAAAACAAACCGGCAATCGCCTCTCTAGCCACCCCAATCAGCCACCGAGTGCGCTGCTTCCCCCGGAGGCGCCAAAACCCTGGCTCTGCTCCGCTCCAGGGACCCCCAAACTTGAACTGGAGTAGCCTGGCTGGAGGGGTGGTGGATGGAATGGCGAGAGGGTGGGATGGGCTGGTTGGAATGGCTAAAGAGGTGACCCCGGAGGGCACTTTGGGCCCAGAGGATAGCAACTGTGGACAGGTCACCTCAGGCCTGAGAGACTAGGGTAGGTTACCACAGACACACCCAAAAGCGGAGTGAGGGCAGCTCTGGCTTGAGGCTTGAGCAGATCCTGCGCTATAGGAAGAAGAACATTTATGCAGGTCACTGCCCAGCCTAGATGGGTGGAGGCAACAGGGCAGGTGGCTGGGACAGAGGTAGGGAATCAGAGGAGATGGCAGGTAGCTGGGCCAGAGCACCAAGAAACTAGAGCGGGTGGCAGGGCCTGTGGCAGGTAGACGGGACCTGGGATGGGTAGTTAGGACTTCTGAGGGTGGAAGCAGAGATCTAGGGAAGGAGAAGTAAACAGGAACCAGGGTATGGCACCCAAGATCCAGGGCAGGTTACAAGGACTCAAGGCAGGTGGAGACACCTGGGGCAGTTAAACAGCTATCCAGAGTGGGTATCTAGGGCCAGTTAACAGGGACTTTAAGGAGCCAGAGTATGAAGCGACCCCCGGGGCTTGTTAACTGGACCTGGGGCAGGTTCACAGGGGCCCAGTGCTGGCTAACTGAGACCTGGTACCGCAGCTCCCGAGCCCGCCCGCCTGCCCGCCCGCCCGCCCGCCCGGCTTCCGGCGCCGCCATGCGCCGCTCCGCTCACTTGCGCGTCGAGCTGGCCCGCCGCGCCGCCTGCGCCCGCTCCGCCCGGGCCTCCCGCGCCTCCGGGGCCGCCGGGGGGCGTCTGCGTCTGGCTGGGGAGGGTGAAGTCGGTGAACTCGAACTCGGAACCCTGGGTGTCGGCGCCGAGCAGCTCGGCTTCCTCAGTGTCCAAGAAGGTGAGCGTCTGCGAGCTGGGGCCGTACGCCTCCACGCTCATCCTGCCGCCCGGGCCGCGCCCTTCGTCGGCGCCTCGCCGCACTCGAGCCCGAGGCTTCGTCTAGGCCTAGGCCGTAATCCGGAGCAGCCGCCGCCGCCGCCCCTCGAGCCGGGCAGACTCCGAACCCGCCTCCGAGAGCAGAGCAGAGCCGCTGGCTCCAAGCGCTGAGTCGCCGCCGCCGCCGCCGCGCCCCTCCGCGCAGCCGCTCGCCTCAAAGCCCACCGCCGCTCTCAGGCCCCTGGACAGGAACCGCCGCCGCTGCCGCCGCTGCCGCGGTGCGCGTGCGCGAGCCCGACGCCGGCACAGGTGCGCGTGCGCGAGCCCGACGCCGGCGCAGTCGCGCGCGCTCCTCCGGAAAGCAGCCAACCGCGCCCGGGCACTAGAAGCTGAGCGGGAGGACAGAACTCGCCGTGCGCCTGCGCGTATGGGCGGGACTTCAACCGCCTGGAGGGCTAGGGCTCGCGAACTTGGCCCCGCCCCAACCGCTGCCTGGTGGTGCGCATGCGCGGCTACGACGTCCTAGCCGCCCGGCCTCAGGGCTGGCTGCTTCTTAGGTGCTGGCTGGGGCCGTCTCAGGGTGCAGGCTGGGGCGCAGGGACGGTGCACCTCCGCTCCTTGAGCCCCGGTTACCCCGTCTGTCTTTTGTCTCGTGGCCGTCCTCGGTGTTCATCGATTAATGAGTAGGGAGTGGGGACCCCGACAATGGTGGTCTCTGCTTCTCGTGCGCTCCTGAAGCCTGTGAAGATCACTGCTGCTTTCTTTGGTCTGGAGACCAGGTCTCACTACGTAGGCGGGCTAGCCTGGGAATCGCTGAGAAGAAGGGGTCAGATCCCCTAGAACTACAGATGGTTGTGAGCTACCAGGTGGGCGCTGGGAGCGCAACCCCGGCCCTCTGCTGGTGCACTGTGCTCCCTAGCCTGAATAATAATACTGTAATCCAGGCTAATTTGGAACTCTGGTCAATCCTCCTGCCTCAGAGTCCCTGGTGCCGGGATGACACGTGTACATCACCACTGGCTATTGAAGTGTTGGCCCCAGAACCCAGGGCTTTATGCATGCTCGGCAAAGACTACTGACTGATGTTCATCCTGTGCTTGCGTCCCACTCTGGGCAGGGAGTCAAGGGCACAGGACGCATCCTGCATCTCCCAGTCCTGGGGCACACTCCTTAAACTCAAACACCAGGAGGCAGAGGTAGAAGGCTCTCTGTGACTCTGAGACCAGCCTGGTCTACATGGCAAGTTCCAGGCCACCCAGACCTGTCTCAAAAAACAAAAGAAAAGGTTTTTTTTAAAAATACGTTGAATGTGGTGGCACAGGTCTTTTTTTTTTTTCTTTTTGGTTTTTTGAGACACGGTTTCTCCGTGTAGTTTTGGTTCCTGTCCTGGATCTCACTTTGTAGACCAGGCTGGCCTCGAACCCACAGAGATCCACCTGGCTCTGCCTCCTGCTGGGATTTAAAGGTGTGTGCCACCCCCAAGCCGGCAGAGGCCTTTTATGCCAGGACTCTGGAGATGGAGGATTGGGGATTCAAGGTCCTAAGTTACATAGCAAGTTTGAGGCCAGCCTGGGCTACATGAGAAATTGGCTAAAAAAATAAATAACAAATAGGTAAATGTTCATGAGGCCAGGATTAGCCTTGGTCACTGCAGCCTTCCACCAAAGGACAGGGCACTGCCTGTAGCTGCTGCTCCATACAAGGTTCTTAGATGCTGTATTGTTGTTCGATTCTTATTACATTTGTTTGTTTGCATATGGGCACACTTGCACCTGCATAGCACATGTGGGGCCAGGGGACAGCCTGCAGGAGTGCTTCTCTCCTGGGGATGGAACTCGGGTTTGGTGGCAAGCCCCTTTACCCACTGAGCCATCTCGCCAGCCCCTTGGCCGTTTACATCCAGCGTCAGGATATGAGATTAAACCACCCAAGCGGGCGGGGGTGGTGCACGCCTTTAATCCCAGCACTCGGGAGGCAGAGCCAGGCGGATCTCTGCGGGTTCAAGGCCAGCCTGGGCTACAGAGCGAGATCCAGGACAGCCAGGGCTACACAGAGAAACCCTGTCTCAAACCCCGCCCCCCAAAAAAAGTATAGTGCCAGCCTAGAGCCCCCTGGTGAGGGGAGGGTGTGCTCAGCTGCTCCTCCAGGTTCCTACCCTGCATGAGCTCCTGCCCTGATTTCCCTCAATGACTGCGTGTCTGGATCTGTAAGCCAAATAAACCCTTTCTTCTCTGAGAAAAAAAAATGAGATTAAACCAACCAAATCCAGACCTCAGTTTTCTGTTTTGTAAAGTGTCTTGGTGGATTCCCTCACCTACAGCACCAAGATTCTGGATTCTCTTTGGGTTTAAACTCAGCACAGAATGCCTGGCACGTACCCCTGATTTCAAAGCCTTCTCCAGGTTTTCCAGTTTTCCCTTTTATTGTTATATATATAGGGGAAAGCCACACTTAGTTAATTTAAGTTTTTATGTGTTTATTTTGTTTTTCCAGACAGAGTTTCTCTGTGTAGCCCTGGCTGTCCTGGAACTCACCGTGTAGACCAGACTGGCCTTGAACTCACAGAGACCCGCCTGTTTCTGCCTCAAAAGTGCTGGGATTAAAGGCGTGCACCTGGCAATAATGATAATCTTTAAAAAAACAAAACAGACCCGGTGGTGGCAGTGGTGGTGGTGGTGGTGGTGGCGGTGGCGGCAGATGCCTTTAATCCCAGACTTTTCGAGGCAGAAGTTGGCGGATCTCTGTGAGTCCAAGGCCAGTCTGGTCTACATGGTGAGTTCCAGGACAGCCAGGGCTACACAGAGAAACCCTGTCTCAAAGAACAAAAACAAACAAACAAACACAAACCCCCAAACAGTGAATGGACGCAGGGCTCCTCTCCAGGAGCCCTGCGCTGCCCAGTAGCGGGTACCTTGACAAACGCAGCGGGCTCTCAGCCCACTGAAGTGCGTGGAGAGGACTTTCAAGACCAGCCGCTAACAGACCTGGTTTGTTTGGTTTTTATTTGTTTTATTATAAGGAGTCACGTGGTGCCACCACAGACCTGTAGAGATCAGAGGACAACTTGGGGGCTCCTTCCCCTTCCTACTGTTTGTTGGGTCATCAGCCTGAGCATCAAGTGCCTTTATCCACGCAGCCACTGGCCAGACCGTGGAGGCTTTGGTTCTATCGAGTGGGCATGTAGAAGTCAGAGTGGATGTCAGATGTTTCCCTCACCCTCCGGCTTGTGTTTGGAGCCCAGAGCCCACTGCTTCCCATCAGCTGGCTAACCAGCAGACCCAGCCCTTCCTGCCTCAGGCTTCCCAGCACTGAGGCTGCAGGTACCCCACAGTTTTCAATGTGTTTGGGGCTCACCTTGATTCAGCAGTTCTGAATCAATAGGATCTTCTTTCTTTTCTACAGATGTATTTGTGAAATGACCTGGGGTGTTGGTACTCTGGAATACAGTTTAATGCAAAAGTCGGGCTGGCCGGGCGGTGGTGGTGCACGCCTTTAATCCCAGCACTTGGGAGGCAGAGCCAAGTGGATCTCTGTGAGTTCGAGGCCAGACTGGTCTACAGAGGAAGATCCAGGATAGGCTCCAAAGCAACACAGAGAAACCCAGTCTCGAAAAACCAAAAAAAAAAAGAAAGAAACGTCAGGGGCTGAAGGGACAGCTCAGGGGTTGAGAGCACTGACTGCTCTTCCAGAAGACCTGGGTTCAGCTCCCAGCACCCACATGGCAGGTCACCACTGTCTGTGACTCCAGCTCCAGGGGATCTGACACCCTTTTCTGACCTCCACAGGCACACATGTGCACACACCTACACTCAGACATGCAAATATTAGACATATTTGTCTTATGTGTGTAGTGTTTGCCTGCATGTATGTCTATGCACCATGTGTGTGCAGTGCCCTTGGAGGCCAGAAAAGAACGTCACATCACCTGGAATTAGAGTTATAGATGGTTGTGAGACATCACATGGGTGCTAGGAACTGAACCTGAATCTTCTGGAAGAGTAGACAGTGCTCTCACACGTAATTTAAAAGACTAAAATCTTTTTTTTCCCCCAAGACAGCGTTTCTCTGTGTAGTTTTGGTGCCTGTCCTGGATCTCGCTCTGTAGACCAAGCTGGCCTCGAACTCACAGAGATCCACCTGGCTCTGCCTCCCGAGTGCTGGGATTAAAGGCGGGCGCCACCACCGCCAGCCTAAACTCTTTTTTTAAAGGCTAAAACAAACAAGAGACTGCAGACATGGTTCAGTGGAGAAAAACACCTGAGTGTGAGGACCTGAGTTCAAATCTCCAGACCCTAAAAAAATTGGGCATGGTAGTACTTGCCTACAGTCCCAGCTCACCTTTGGGGAGATGGGTGGCAGAGACAGGAGGGTCCCCAGGAGCTTGGGGGCGGGGCTAGCCCGCTGTCTGCAGCCCAAACAAGAACCCTGCCCCACACAAGGCAGAAGGTGAGGAGCCACACCTGGCGCTTTTTCTGATGTCACAGGCGCTCCCTGGTATAAGTGTGCCGAGTGCACTTACACAAGTGTGTGCCCGTACTGTGCGTGTTAGAGTCCCCTCAGCAGTGTTCTGGAGCAGAGCAGCACAATGTCACAGCAGTGTGCGTCTTGCCAGGCATGCAGAGAAACGGCCAGACCTGTCATTACACACTGGTTCATAAACTGTGACTTCAGGCCGTGGTTTACATGGAGGACCAGCACTTGAATGGGCCTCAGACTTCCTCAAGACAGGAAAATTCCATGATGAAGTGCTGGAAGGCTGCCACTGGGGCTCAGCTTGTAGTTCAGTTCAGTTGTAGAGTGCTTGTAGCTGAGTAGCAAGAGTACTTGTAGCTCAGTTGTAGAGTGCTTAGAGCTGAGTAAGAAGAGTACTTGTAGCTCAGTTGTAGAGTGCTTAGAGCTGAGTAAGAAGAACTTACTAAATGCATAGGACCCTGTATTCTAGCCCCAACTTCACAGATGCTGGTGTGGGGGTGTGCACCTGTCACCCTGGCACTCAGGAGGTGGAGAAAGAAGATCAAGATTTCAAAAGGGGGCTGGATCTGGGTTTGGTTCCCAGCACACACATGGCAGCTCTAACTCCAGTCCCAAGGTGTCCAATGCCCTCTTCTGATCGCCATGGGCACCAGGCACGAACATGATGCATGAACATGCAGGAAAAATCCATCACATAAGATAATACTTTATAATATAATACAGTATTTTATAATATTTTTAAAATCGAACAGATTTTTTTAAAAAAATCCAAACAAAAGATTTAGGCCTCTAGTTCCAGTGCTCTGG